GGTTACAAGGTTGCAGGAAGTAAGTGCGAGAACGCTGCTTCTCTTACGGCCTTGGGTTTGTGCTCTGCTGTGTCGTTGCTGTTGCTCCAGCTTGGCATCCGCGACTCCTTTGTGAATGTTGCGGTAAGAAAGTGCGAGAACGCCGCTTCGGTCGCCCTTGGCCTGCCATGGCTCGCCTTCCCTGCTTCCGACAGTGCCTTCTCTCACCGGGTTGTAAGGTTTCGGTTAGTAAGCGCGAGAACGCTGCTTCTCTTACGGTCTTGGGTTCAGGTTCTGCTCTGTCGTTGCTTGGCTGCTGCCGCCTGGCATGGTCGCATTACCTTCGGTGCTTGTTGCGGTTAGTAAGTGCGAGAACGCCGCATTTGCCACCTTTGGCCTGCCATGTGCCTCGTTTTCCCTGCTTCGGGCAGTGCTTTTTCTCACCGGGTTGCAAGGTTGCAGTTAGTAAGCGCGAGAACGCTGCTTCCCTTACGGCCTTGGGTTTGGGCTCTGCTCTGTGGCTGCTTGGTTGCCGCTGCTTGGCATGATCGCGACTCCTTTAGTGAATGTTGCGGTTAGTAAGTAAGTGCAAGAACGCCGCTTCGGTCACCCTTGGCCTGCCATGTGGCTCGCCTTCTCTGCTTCGGACAGTGCCTTTTCCCAACTGGTTACAAGGTTGCAGTCAGTAAGTGCGAGAACGCTGCTTCTCTTACGGCCTTGGGTTTGTGCTCTGCTGTGTCGTTGCTTGTTGCTCCAGCTTGGCATTGTCGCGACTTCTTTGGTGAATGTTGCGGTTAGTAAGTGCGAGAACGCCGCTTCGGTCACCCTTGGCCTGCCATGTGGCTCGCCTTCCCTGCTTCGGACAGTGCCTTTTCTCACTGGGTTGCAAGGTTGCAGTCAGTAAGTGCGAGAACGCTGCCTGCCTTTCGGCCCAGGGTTTGGGCTTTGCTCTGCGTTGCTTGGTTGTTGCCGCTTGGCATGGTCGCGACTCCTTCGGTGTATGTTGCGGTTAGTATGAGCGTGAACGCCGCTTCTGCCACCTTTGGCCAGCCATGTGCCTCGTTTTCGCTGCTTCGGGCGGTGCCCTTTCTCACCGGGCTGCAAGGTTGCAGTTAGTAAGAGCGGGAACGCTGCTTCTCTTACGGCCTTGGGTTTGGGCTCCCCGTTGGCTCCACTTGTCTTGGACTTTGGTGTGCACGACAACGCAGAAACGAAGTTTGCGGGGTCGCTCGTTGTCCGACGGGACTAGAACGACGGCCGGGGACCTTTGCTTTGGGGAACCCACCGCGTCTTCGGGTAGTTGCTGGACGACGGTTCTCTTCTACCTCTGTTTGTCGCTGAGTAGTTTGTTGCCTTCCTTGTACAGTTTGGAGGGTTAGCTCGCTGAGAGGCTTGTGCAGTACTGCCGGTGCCGAACAGGGTAGATGACGTAGTTTTCGAACCTGCGGTTTTTGCCGGCCTTTGTTTAGTTAGCTCTTTGAAGCTTTCACCCTTGTATAGTTTTCTGTTCTTGCTTATTAGCTTCTTCTTGCATTCTTGCTTCTTATAGGGACCGAACGCAGCAGCCGCTGTCACTGAGGCCCGACCACGCAAAAAAAAAGCGTGTCCGTGGCAGCCGCGTTGCCGAGCACAGTGAAACAGAAACCACTGCTAAGAATGTTTTCTGCGCTTCTTGCAGAACTGCGGCATTTTCGTTTTTTGGCAATGCCAATAATCCTAATAACACTGAGAATACTCATAATATGAATAACACCAATAATACTAACTGATAATAACACCAAGTAACCATACTAATAATACTTAATGTTCAGAATATTAATAATACTCATCATACTTGTAATATTAGTAGGATTAAAACAATATTACTGGTATTAGTAATACTATTAATGTTAATAAGACTAATTTTGCTGATATTACTAACAATACTAATAATATTAATACTACTTATCATACTTATAATACTAACAGTAGTAATAATATTGATAATATTAATAATACTAATAATACTAATACTAATACTACTAATAATACTAATAATACTAATAATACTAATAATTTTAATAATTCTAATAATACTAATAATACTAATAATACTAATAGTACTAATAATACTAATAATACTAATAATACTAATAATACTAATAATACTAATAATACTAATAATACTAATAATATTAATAATACTAATAATATTAATAATACTAATAATACTAATAATATTAATAATACTAATAATACTAATAATACTCATAATACTAATAATACTAATAATACTAATAATACTAATAATACTAATAATACTAATAATACTAATAATACTAATAATACTAATAATACGAATAATACGAATAATACGAATAATACTACGAATAATAATGTTATTAATATTCTAATAATGCTAATAGTTCTAATATTGCTAATAATATTAATACTACTATCAATGCTAATAATACCAATAATACGATTCATACGAAGAATGCTAATAATGCTAATAATGCTAACAACGCTAATAATGCTAATGATGCTACTAATACGAATAATATTCGTAAACTCATGACTGATAATGCTCATAATACCATAATACTCATATTGATAACATTCATAATGCTCATAATATTCATAATACTCACAATACTCATAATAATAATGCCAATAATATTAATAATAATAATAGTACTAATACTGCTTATAACATTCATGGTACGAACAATACGAATAAAACGAATAATACTTTCGTAAATATCACAAGTAGTACTAGGAATACGAGTAATACGTATAATACGAATAATACGAAAAATATCAACAATACTAATAATACTAATAATACGAATAACACTAACAATACAAATAGTTCGAATGAGATCTAATACCAATAATGCTAATAACATGAATAGAATTAATATTATTAAAAATATTCGTAATACTAAAAATAATAATACTAATGATCCTATTCAATATTTCTAATAATACTAATAATGTTAATAATACTAATAATATTAATAATAGTAATAATAGTAATAATAGTAATAATACAAATAATATTAATAATATTAATAATACTAATAATACTAATACTACTAATAATACTAACAATACTAATAATACTAATAATTTTAATAATTCTAATAATACTAATAATACTAATAATGCTAATAGTACTAATAATACTAAAAATACTAATAATACTAATAATACTAGTAATTCTAACAGTACTAATAATACTAATAATACTAATAATACTAATAATACTAATAATACTAATAATACTAATAATACTAATAATACTAATAATATTAATAATACTAATAATACTAATAATATTAATAATACTAATAATACTAATAATACTCATAATACTCATAATACTAACTATACTAATAACACTAATAAAACTAACAATACCAATAATACTTTTAGTGCCAAATATGTTTGCGGTTCTCATTTTACAAATACTAATATTATTAATGATATTAATCATACCAACTTTACGAATTATTTTTAATATTGACAATACTAACACTACTCATAAGAAAATAGGAATAAGCACAAGTATTATATATGGTCATGATCTTATAGATCGACAGACATGACGGTAATAACAATAAGAATATGATGATGACGACGGTGATCGTGATGGTTGCGATGATGATCAAAAAAGTTCCAGATATCTTCTGGGTCTGTGGGTGTTTTCGTATCCGACGAGCTGATCATTGACAGCAGCCGTGAGACTTTGCAGTTTTGAGGGTTACACTTGTAGTAGGCAGCAAGTGTCCCGCTGGCGGTTGGCGTTGTTGCTGAGAGGGTTCACAAGCTGAGGTCATGCAGCAGTATGCTCCAGTCCTCAGTCATGCTTGATCATTGCACAGCTTGCACATGCATTTGGAAGGATGGTTGCAGTGGAACACGAAAGTTGTTTCCTGTCTCGGAAATTCGACAAGCGATGCATGTGGCAACGAGGAGTGTGAGAGTATTGTGCCATGCTGTTGCTTTAGTTGTGCGGCTTTAACCAGACCGTTCGCGCATGTGATGCGTGAGAGCGGTCGCATGAATGCCAGGTCGTGGAATCATGATGAACCGAGTGCAGTGAATTTGAGGTGGTCCTGGGATGATTCCTCGTTGTAGAGATTTTGCAGATTGGATGCCGCATTTGATCGATTTGGCCCGGTCTTGTCAGCACAATCCAGCTCAGCGCCAACCTGCTGTAAACAGAGCATCGGGCCCAAACCATGGAACCTGGATTCATGAACGCATTGCCAACCATGTGAACACACTGAAACATCAAATGCTTGGTGACGATGGCCATGACATCAAAAAGGATGAGGCTGAGGGCTTTTGCATCACCAGCTTCACCACTGAATCGCTCAGTCAGGTGTCTGCCTTGACCTTGGATCCCAAATGGTGCGCCGGCGGAATTCTTACTGTGACTACTCAATATTCGTAGGTAGGTCGATGGTTCGCGACAAGGCACGATGAATTCGACATGATCGATTTCTGGATTTTTTGATTGTGCAGAACTTATGACTGCCTTGTTTTCGCAGTTCGCACCGCGAAGGAGCTATTGTGTTCGCATCCCGAGCCGGTCGTTGTTGACTGGCCGATCCAGGTGCCACACATGGGCCTTGTTTCTGAATGTCAAGATGCTTTCGCATGGACGCTTCGATTATTGAAAGGTGGTCATGGTGCGTATCTTCCGAAGGGCCGCGGCCTTTGATTAGTGGCGCTCTTGGTTTCGTACCCGCGGATGAAAGTAAGTAGACCAGAATTGCACGGAGTTGGATGGACGCATACTTGATGTTCGGAGCCGTCAATACTCTTTCACAAAATCTCGGAATTCTGAGGATTCCATGTCAGATTGTTCAACCTTGCTGAGCAGATGCGCAGGACATGTTTAGATGGACTCGTGGCGTGGCGGCGAGCCGAGTTCATGCATGTCTTTGAAACTGCACTTCTGCCTTTGCTCAGAAAATAATGCAACCAACGGCTTCTTCGCTCTGTGTCTTAGGTTGCGGCCGCTCTGCTTCATGCAGCGTCCCGACTCCGAAGAGGTGCATGTGTCAATCGTTGTTGCATGTTTTTGCAACATGCTCACACAGTCGGGAGGCGAGTAGCATGACAGGAGCGCGTTTATTTCGAGAAGACCGTTGCTTTTCTCAGGTCTGCTCTGTTCTCAGATGTTAATGCTAGGCGCTAGGCGCCTCTAGCCCGCTACAGTAGCCTTAACAGGACGTGCCTCGGCACCGGAGTTCGGCGCATCCCGTTTCAGCGTGGTGCGAACTTACATGGGTTGAGTCTGGGAGTGCAGCGCTGAGGTGCCCCTTTTCAAGCGGCAGTTGCCTAGCTGCGAGCTTCCGAAGCTCGCAAGAGACCTGAAGCGCAAAACGTGGAGGCCAGTGTTCTTGGACAGCACAGCAGTGCACCACAACCCAAGCAGCAGCATGCGGGTGATGCTCACCCTTGGCAAGAGATTGAGCGCTGACCAGGCCAGGTGAGAAGATCGTGAACCAGGGCGAGGCATACGGCTGCTTTGAACCATGCGGGTGGGCACAGGAAGCTCTTTCGAAGGTCGGAAGGGCCTTCTACCTCATCGAGTCGGGAGTCGCCAGTGTGATTGTGGCAGACTGCGACGGCCAGGCCCGGCTGCTGGGTGGCAAACTCATGAGTCAGTTTCTGTCACCTGGCTGTGAGGAGAAGGTGAGGGCAACGCTGATTGCGGGCGATTACTTCGGAGGCCTTTTATTCCAGAGACGTAATGGTCTTGGTCTGCTTTCGGTTCGAAGGTAAATGCGTTCCAGAAGTATCGTCGGACCTCATCTGCTTCTTCAATGTTGTCGTCAACCTGCATGTCGTTTAACGGAATATACGATACTGCGATACAGCCAAGAGATATCTAGTCGCCACAAACTTACTTTAACCGCTGGCGCGAGCGCCGCCTCGCGAGCGGGCAGGGAGGAGGGAATGAGGGTGGGGGGAGGGAAACAGGTTCGAAAAACGGCATTCCCAAACTCTTGGACGAGCCCACAACAAAACTGTCAAAATCCGCGTCCTCGTTCCTAGCTGCCCCTTTCAAAGATCGACCCAAGAAGTCGAAGCCAAAAACCCGATCCAGGGTGAGAGCCTGGGAGCGGGATAAGGGGGTGGGGGGTATACCAGTAGTGGTACCTAGGTCCTTATGTGTCGATCTAACCTGTTGGTAAGCTTTCTAGGAGGATGGCTGCAGTGGCAGTTTGGAAATGTCTTCTCAGGCCACACTCTTGTAGCCGAGAGATCGAACGTCGGCTGCTGCCTCAAGCTTCGCAGTCAAAGTGAGGGATCCCGCAACTGAGCATGGCAAGCACACGGCCAAGAGACCTCGTCGTGCCTCGAACGAGCGAGATTGCTTTTGGTTGCTGCGAAGAAGTGTGTCTTCTGGCATCCTCCCAGGTACTGTAGTTGCTCAGGGTCCAGAGCAGCTGGTCACACTGTCCATGTCACGCCGGGCGTCGCCGACATGTTGGAGTGTGTGCTGCGGGGATGCCAAAGGAACGCTGCTTGAATCTTTTTTTTTGCTGCATGTGATCTGCCCGCTTTGCACCACGCTGAGATTAGTCGAACTTGGGCAAGTTTCTCCGAAACTGTTGTCAGAAGCTATGCGATGTGCGTTGCCAGGTTTTTGAAGAGTCTGGCTTGAAGGACAGGGCATTCCAGTGTGGCTGTGTAAGACTGTGGGTCACCGCCCCACCCAGGACAAGCTGTGCTTCCCGAAGAGACCAGCTCTTTACTTCGACCGTGGACAGTCCAGGGCCAGGACCTTAGGCCTTCGCCACCTTCACCACCTCCGCCCAGAATGAACGTGCCTTCAGGACAGTTCTTTTGACAGCCTGGCAACCTGTGTCGTGGAGCCACACGAGCAGGTGGAAAATCGTGTTAATGTTGTTGATACGACACCCTGCCGGCCGGGATTTGCTGTAGCAGGCGTTTGTACTGGAAGCCTTGAAGCAGAACGTCAATTTGCGTGCCTTGCACAATGTTGCTCGTCCGCAAAGCCAGCAGAAACCCGCGCAAGCAAAAGCTCCAGGCGAGTGCGGATAACCTGCCTACACCCGTCGCTGTGAGCTTTTTGCAATCGTTGCAATCCATGGAGCTAGCAGACAATGCATGTTATACTGGCGTGACTCAGTGACCGTTGGAGCAAGCTGTTTGTTCAGTAGGAGGCTCACCACAATCTGTCTGGAAAGGTTCTGGACTAGACCTGCGAGTTGTGGTAAGGTTCTAAGAACAATTCCCACCGCAAGTTGCTGGACGTCCTGAGCATGAATGCTCGGTTTGTCTCAAACTTCTTCGGGCATCCTCATGGCTCCCCCCCCGCCCCGAATCCTCCTCACTGTCTTCAGTCTTCAGTTCCTTCGCATAAGCAGCCTGCAAGGTTGATAACGAGGTCATGCAAAGCATTGCTCGCGCCTCTCGGCAGAAGTTGGTTTCGAGAAGCGAGCTGTCGAATGACCGGGCCGTGTGTTGCCTTTCACCGCACCATCTTTGGGAAGATCGCAGGTCCGTTGGGTCGTTCATGCGGAAGAACAGACAGTAGATGGCTCACCGGTAAGGGAGTTGGAATACTGTTTTAGCTTCGGGTTGTCGAGTGCGGCCAGAACCGATGGGATCGCTGGAGATAGGCCCATCAGATGGCCTGGAGTCGTCTGCAACGAAATGCCGTGACAAATCTTGCCATGCTCAGGGCGCCGTGCGCCGATTTGTTCCCAAGGCTTGGGCAATCATGACTCGCGTGGACCGCCGCGTTCTCTTGAAACTGCTCAACCGGTTCATCCGCCTGGGAATGCTAGGGCACGGTTGTGGCTCAAAGTGGTTCTCTCGGAAAGGACGGTATCCGCTGTGCTGCTTCTCACTTGTGGCATCTGTGCCTTGTGCTGCTAGTGACTAGCCAGTGCGCAGCGAGCTTAGAGTACTTGCCAGTTGATCCTTGGAGGAGTTCTTCATCATCAAGAAAGGAAGGTTCCATGCGGTGGTCCGCAGCCCTGGTGACGTTCTGTTCGAGCTTGCTGGGCAGACCGAAGTTGCGTCGAGCCAAGGCTGAAACAGACGCCTATGACGGCCAGAAGTCGGCAGAGGCTGTCATGTGCGAGAGTCTCTGAATCGGCAATGCCTGGCACCCGAGGCCACCGTAGCCCAGCTGACGATGTCGGACTGCAGCCTGCCTGGGTTTCTGGGTTTTGCAATTGCCTTCGCCGTGTGCTGTGGCGCTTGCAGGAGCGTCTGAAGCGAAAGCAGACGTTTCTCAAGAGCTTGTGCCTTGATTGCAGCATTGCGAAATTGCGAGCAGGTAGGCCCAAGCCCGAGATGGGTGCTAGAGTGCCTTGCAGGTGCCGACACAAAGGCTCCAACCAGCCAGGAACTAAGAGGCCCACAGGAATGGGATAAGCGTCATGAGGAGCATAGGCATCGGATCGCCTCATATCGCCTCATGTTTCCACTTCTTACCGTTGGAGCAGAGGTTCAGCCACTCGCAATCTGTGCGGCTGCCTGCTCCAAAGGGGCCAAAGGCACCTGCAACGCTTTGGTGCGGCGGAGAGTGATGTCGATGATTGAGACTGTGACACGGTGTGTGGGACCCACGTTACTTCCATCGTCCTGCACAGGCTATGGCTGACTGGGCTGATGACCTGAGCATGACTTGTAACATGACGCCTGTCCACCTGCGCGGCTGCCCCTCTGCCCGGGGGCCTAAACGGGGACCAGAAGAAAATGCGGTGGACAGGGCACCATGGAGCGCGGAAGTTGTATGTGGCGGACGTGAGATCGGACGTGGCAGGGTGCTTCCACGATGACATTGTCGTCACCTTGCAGTGACACCGGCAGGCAGGTTCAAGTGTCAGTCCGTCCATATTGCACGAATTTTTGTGCAGCATGTGAAAATGCTGGACAAAAATCCCGCCAGAAACTGCCCTATCAGGCCCTCAACAAGATTCCAGCTGCAGCGACAGCCCTCGGTCCCTTCCACCCCAAACCCAGCCGGGACCCCCCTGGCAGCCGTGTCCCGGCCGAAGATCTCACCTGTCTGGGGCCCGTTCGAAAAGCCTTCTGCAGAGTCCACTCGCTAGTGTTCCGATGCTTTCCGGCCTCTTATCTAGGGACTCATGTGCCCAGTTGAGGCATCAGGGCATGGCTGAGCCGTGTTGGCGCCATGACTCACTTCGCACACGTCACGACGTGCATTTTGACGAAGTCCTAGGCCTCATGATTCATTTCGCTCAGGGGCATGTTTCCACTTCGGGTTTCACGAAACGAGGTCGACCGCTCAGGTGATGGAGATCTGCTCCTAAGCACTGCTTGTACGCAACAATGTAAGCGCCGGAGTTGAACGTGTGGTCGGCTGAGAAACTCAGTCTAGTGAGGGACACATCTGAATGCTCGAGTGGCTGTGCAGGACACCTCTGAGTACAGTGGCCTCGCAGCGGGATTTTGGTGTCCAGGTCTTCCAGGCGAGGTTCTTTCACGCAAAGATTTGATGACCACAGTACTTGTTTTGAGGTTGGTGACAAGGTCACCATGTCCGCCACCCTGTCATGCTTGCATTCCCAGGAACTCTAGGTGCCAAGCGCCGCCCTTCAGTCAGTGAAGCTTTCTCGGGCGAGAGTCGGTCGAGCAATGGTGCATCGATGATACTTTCCAGGTGAAGGCTGGAACTCTTGGCATAGGCGGCATAGACTTGGTCCTGCCGAAGCGCAGTGCCTTGCAGCCTGTGTTTCTGAGTCTGATGCCATCAAGCTCGAAAGTAAGAGTCACGCAGTGCCAAGATGTCAGGACATCGAACTACGCGGCAAAGACACAATCTTGAACTGATGCTGATCTTGATGGCAGGATCGGGATGAGGGCAGCCATGGCCAAGTGGGCACTGCCGCGGGCTTTTCAGGATTGTAAGAGAAACGTCTGAAGGTAATATCAGGCCCATGTACTGGTCCTAGCATTTTGATTCGATCCTCGATAATGCCATCCTCCGCTTCCTTCTTGTGAAGAGTCGAAGAGATCCGTTGTTGTGAAAGGTCTCAGAATGTGGTCGCGATGGAGCGGGACGACCGTGGGTCAAGGAAGCGCTTGTTTTCCGCTGGGGTTCTACCTGTGACGCACGATTTGACGCGCACAGCCACGACTAGACTCTCCAGGTTGACTTCCAAGGGGCACTTGGCGAGTGGCTGGCAGGGGCACCTGGTGACTTGAGTCCGACGGCTTGGAGAGTAATGGATATCCTGCCTACAGGTGTTAGGTCGCCTGTCTGAATGCGCATACCAGGAATCCAGGAATGGAGTCGTGACGTGCAAAGTTTTCCATCAGTTATCAACTTGGCCGCTGTTGGCTCGAAGTTTTCCACCTTGGCTGCCTTCACAACTCTGCCACGGACTCGGGCCGCAGAACTTGCAAAGCTGCAAGCTTTGGGGTGTTTTCGAGCAGGGAGATATTTGCGTACATCTCCGTGAGCTTGAGGCTTGAAGCCATGCCGAACAAGCGCTCCGGTGGCGTGCTGGTGCGGCACTTGATGCCGTCGTCATGTTGATAGCCAAGCGACAATCTGCGTGGCCGAGGTCGTGGCAGCTCTGGCTGCCTTTGTCTCAGCCATGGCCTTTGTGGCGCCCCAGGCCCCGCCAGCTCGCGGGACCCTGTCAGCCGTGCAGATGCAGGTCGGGGAGGAACATGAGCATGCTTTCGCCGCTCTCGATTCCGTTCATTGCGTGCTGACAGGCCGGTGGCGAGTACACCGGCTTCGTGCCAGACCTGCAGCGTCCTGGCTTTTCATTCCCTTATCGAGTTCGTCCTTAACCGGAGGGTTTTCCTTGCCATCGAACATGTACAAGAGATGTGGGATCTGTGAGGCGCCGCCAGCTGATGAACTTCGTCCTGGTTACCACAGCTGGCATCCCCGTGCTGGTGGCTCTGGGCTGCTATCTCTGGTACTTCGTGCCGCCGGTGGCCGGCGGTGGCAGCGGTGCGACACTGGCTGGTGATCAGGAGGGCAACCCCATCACTTTGGAGAGCTGGGTGAAGTCGCACAAGGAGAACGACCGCGAGTTGGTCCAGGGCCTCAAGGGCGAGCCATACTACCTGATCTCCACGGCGGACAACATCAAGGACTTCGCCCTGCTGTCCGTGTGCACGCACCTTGGCTGCGTCGTTCCCTGGAGCAAGAGTAACAACAAGTTCTGCTGCCCCTGCCACGGCTCGCAGTACGATGAGAACGGCAAGGTGGTGCGAGGCCCCGCCCCGCTCTCCTTGGCACTCGCGCACACCACCACCCAGGATGGCAAGTTGGCCCTCACCCCATGGCCCGAGAAGGACTTCCGCACCGACCTGGACCCCTGGTGGAAGGTTTAGGTGGACTTAGCACAATCAATCGTGCAGAGCTTCGCCATCCCAGCCCGCCCTGAGAAAAGCGAACGGAATGCAATACTGTTGCATTTGCTTGCGACGGTTCCTTGTTTGATTTACATTGAGTTTCTTTGTGTGAGCGTGCGGCATCTGCTAAGAGGATGCAAAGACGTACTGAGTGGACGTGACAGGTTTGCAGGCTCCAGTCTGTGCTGAGAGCATTAGTAATTGCCTGTGGAAGTTTCCCAATGGCCGCCAAAAGCTGGTTGCTGCCAGTTGCCGTGCCTGGATGGCCATTTAGGGTTTTTCGTTGCTTGTTGAACCCTGGTAGCGGATTTATCCAGCCTTCCTTGAGGTGCTGGTGGCCCTAGGCCTCCTAGCCACCGCCTTCGTGGCACCCCGGCCCGCTGCACCGCCTCGTGGCGATGCCATGGCACTGAGGGTACGGCTCTCAAAGCAAACCACAAGTAGATTGAAGTTGAAATTCGATGAAACGCTCTGAAGGCTGGTGGCGAGTACACCGGCTTCGTGCCAGACCTGCAGCGTCCTGGCTTTTCATTCCCTTATCGAGTTCGTTCTTAACCGGAGGGTTTTCCTTGCCATCGAACATGTACAAGAGATGTGGGATCTGCGAGGCGCCGCCAGCTGATGAACTTCGTCCTGGTTACCACAGCTGGCATCCCCGTGCTGGTGGCTCTGGGCTGCTATCTCTGGTACTTCGTGCCGCCGGTGGCCGGCGGTGGCAGCGGTGCGACACTGGCTGGTGATCAGGAGGGCAACCCCATCACTTTGGAGAGCTGGGTGAAGTCGCACAAGGAGAACGACCGCGAGTTGGTCCAGGGCCTCAAGGGCGAGCCATACTACCTGATCTCCACGACGGACAACATCAAGGACTTCGCCCTGCTGTCCGTGTGCACGCACCTTGGCTGCGTCGTTCCCTGGAGCAAGAGTAACAACAAGTTCTGCTGCCCCTGCCACGGCTCGCAGTACGATGAGAACGGCAAGGTGGTGCGAGGCCCCGCCCCGCTCTCCTTGGCACTCGCGCACACCACCACCCAGGATGGCAAGTTGGCCCTCACCCCGTGGCCCGAGAAGGACTTCCGCACCGACCTGGACCCCTGGTGGAAGGTGTAAGCACATCCATGCTGTGCGAGAGCAGCTCCTGCAACTGTGGTAGTTTCCGATTTTTCCAGCTACTAAGCGCAGAGCCCCAAGGAAACACTTGCCGCAAGAGTTGCTACCAGAAGCAGACATGGGAAAAGGGGCAGAGTGTCGTGTTGCAAGACCACTGACTGAGCTTACGAAATATCACGAAGCTCGATTTGTGTGAAAGCTGCTATCCTGAGTGCCGAAATGTCATGTGGTGTTCCTTTCCGAACCTTCGATGCTTTGAGCACGCGCAGCTTGCTTGGCTCTGCAAGTTTTGGCATCCGAAAACATGGCGAAGCGAAGCGCGCTATCCTTTGCGACTCGTCCAAAAAGCTCTTCAGATGCTTCGCATATGTTCGCATCAAGCTCGGACACTCGGATAGCGGGGACAAGCTCCAGGCGGACTTGAAGACGCCTGTGTGACTTCTGAGGCACTGGCAGCAGCGGGAGCCCTGCTGCTATGCTGCTCCTCCATTGCATGTCCAAGTTGGTTTTCTTGGACTTACCATGGCGTAGTTTTCCTAGCACCGGTTGCTGGGGTGATGCAACTGGAGATACAGCGCGGGAGCGACACTCCTAGAACTCTGACTCTGCTGTTATCTCGGTGCTCCGTTCAGGCATGGCCACTGCGTTCGTTGCTCCTGGCGCGCCACCCCGCAGTGCCAGCGCTGTGCAACTTCGCGCAGCTTGCACGAACCACAGGTAGAAGTACCAGGGTTTTACATCCAAAAGTCATGGATTGCAATTTGCACAGATGACTACTGGCCTTGCTTGGGGTGCACAGCCCATGACGGTGTGCCTCAATCCCGAGGCCGGAGGTGAGTACACAGGCTTCGTTCCGGACCTTCAGCGGCTCGGATATGTTATTGGATGAGAGGATTCTGGAAATTCAGTTCTGATTCAGTGCGACATCATTCTTCAGTTGTCAACAGGCGCCGCCAGCTGATGAACTTCGTCCTGGTTACCACAGCTGGCATCCCCGTGCTGGTGGCTCTGGGCTGCTATCTCTGGTACTTCGTGCCGCCGGTGGCCGGCGGTGGCAGCGGTGCGACACTGGCTGGTGATCAGGAGGGCAACCCCATCACTTTGGAGAGCTGGGTGAAGTCGCACAAGGAGAACGACCGCGAGTTGGTCCAGGGCCTCAAGGGCGAGCCATACTACCTGATCTCCACGGCGGACAACATCAAGGACTTCGCCCTGCTGTCCGTGTGCACGCACCTTGGCTGCGTCGTTCCCTGGAGCAAGAGTAACAACAAGTTCTGCTGCCCCTGCCACGGCTCGCAGTACGATGAGAACGGCAAGGTGGTGCGAGGCCCCGCCCCGCTCTCCTTGGCACTCGCGCACACCACCACCCAGGATGGCAAGTTGGCCCTCACCCCGTGGCCCGAGAAGGACTTCCGCACCGACCTGGACCCCTGGTGGAAGGTGTAAACAAGCTTGTAGATAGCTCTCTTCACCGTCGATGCAACCGGTCTGTGCAGGTGAGCACGAGTTTGTGTCACGACAGTGCTGAGACTAAGCCGGTGTTTTCATGATGTGCTCTTCGTGGGACCTCGGCATGTGGCACCAATTGAGACTTTAGACAGGAAGAGGAGCCACCGAAGCGGAGTGTAACAGTGTAGCATGATGATGATATACATCTGTATGTACTACTATACTGATACTATGTGAGAACAGGTAACGCTGTCAGTGAGAACTCTTGCCGGAGCAAGCTGCCTCTTCGTTTTTCCCGAACTCGGCGAGAGCAAAATTGCATAAGCAGAGGACCTCCAACGAAAAGGTTTGGCATTTGCACTGATTCAGGTGAAAGCTATGAAACTGCATCGCATCTTGTGTTCTCGCAGCACTTATTGTTGCAGGCTTGTGAAGCTTCCAGGCTGGACAGCGCGAAGCCATGGCAAGGCAGGTGCGAGTGATGAGGGCGGTGGTGGCCTGATTGCAGTTTGTTGGGCCACCAGCAAGAACCCCCCCCCGGACTGTACGCAGCTGAATCAGATCCTGCTCAGGCTCTCGTGGCGGCAGCTCTGCTGGCTGCGTCCGTCGCCAGTGCCTTCGTGGGTGTGCAGGCAGAGCATGCAAGAGTTTCCCCGTTTTCAAGACGAGGGTGCAGGCCAAGTGGGCCGTTGAGAGCCTGCGACAGGCACCCACCCCGCGAGTCCAGACGCAACTTCGCGCCGGTGGGGAGTATACCGGTATCCTGGCACTGCTAGAGCCACGCTGGTTTGATCAGCAATAGATCCCGGGTAGCGAGATGTAGCGAGTGCTTCTTGGCTGAGGCTTCGTGCCAGACTTGCAGTGCCTCGCCCGAGCAGTAGTGTCGTGATCAGACCGGAAGTTTCGATTTTACGGTGGATCACGAGGCGCCGCCAGCTGATGAACTTCGTCCTGGTTACCACAGCTGGCATCCCCGTGCTGGTGGCTCTGGGCTGCTATCTCTGGTACTTCGTGCCGCCGGTGGCCGGCGGTGGCAGCGGTGCGACACTGGCTGGTGATCAGGAGGGCAACCCCATCACTTTGGAGAGCTGGGTGAAGTCGCACAAGGAGAACGACCGCGAGTTGGTCCAGGGCCTCAAGGGCGAGCCATACTACCTGATCTCCACGGCGGACAACATCAAGGACTTCGCCCTGCTGTCCGTGTGCACGCACCTTGGCTGCGTCGTTCCATGGAGCAAGAGTGCCAACAAGTTCTGCTGCCCCTGCCACGGCTCGCAGTACGATGAGAACGGCAAGGTGGTGCGAGGCCCCGCCCCGCTCTCCTTGGCACTCGCGCACACTACCACCCAGGATGGCAAGTTGGCGCTTGTCCCATGGCCCGAGAAGGACTTCCGCACCGACCAGGACCCTTGGTGGAAGTGAGATGAAGCAAGGCTTTGTGAAAGTCTGGTGATTTTGTCGGTGCTCCAAATGCTATTGAGCACAGAACTCAAGTCGCTTGCCTTAGCGAGTGCTCGTGAGTTTGTGCCGTGCAGCGGGGCTACAGTTTTCGGGGGGCGTCTGAAGTTTAGCGTCCACTCGCCAAGTTTGACCGCGGAATGGGCCTACAACTGTACAGCTTTTGTGCCAAGGCTCAACAAATCGAAGATGTCACCCGGTGCAACTCACGCTGAGAAGGTAGGATGGTTTGAAGCCGCGCAGCGTGACAGAGCGATGAAGGTCAGATTGCGACACGGATTTGACCACAAGGGGTCTTCTCTGAGTTGCCGGATTTGCTCAAACCATTCCGACTGCTGAGCAGCGCGAAGCCATGGCAAGGCAGGTGCGAGTGATGAGGGCGGTGGTGGCCTGATTGCAGTTTGTTGGGCCACCAGCAAGAACCCCCCCCCGGACTGTACGCAGCTGAATCAGATCCTGCTCAGGCTCTCGTGGCGGCAGCTCTGCTGGCTGCGTCCGTCGCCAGTGCCTTCGTGGGTGTGCAGGCAGAGCATGCAAGAGTTTCCCCGTTTTCAAGACGAGGGTGCAGGCCAAGTGGGCCGTTGAGAGCCTGCGACAGGCACCCACCCCGCGAGTCCAGACGCAACTTCGCGCCGGTGGGGAGTATACCGGTATCCTGGCACTGCTAGAGCCACGCTGGTTTGATCAGCAATAGATCCCGGGTAGCGAGATGTAGCGAGTGCTTCTTGGCTGAGGCTTCGTGCCAGACTTGCAGTGCCTCGCCCGAGCAGTAGTGTCGTGATCAGACCGGAAGTTTCGATTTTACGGTGGATCACGAGGCGCCGCCAGCTGATGAACTTCGTCCTGGTTACCACAGCTGGCATCCCCGTGCTGGTGGCTCTGGGCTGCTATCTCTGGTACTTCGTGCCGCCGGTGGCCGGCGGTGGCAGCGGTGCGACACTGGCTGGTGATCAGGAGGGCAACCCCATCACTTTGGAGAGCTGGGTGAAGTCGCACAAGGAGAACGACCGCGAGTTGGTCCAGGGCCTCAAGGGCGAGCCATACTACCTGATCTCCACGGCGGACAACATCAAGGACTTCGCCCTGCTGTCCGTGTGCACGCACCTTGGCTGCGTCGTTCCCTGGAGCAAGAGTAACAACAAGTTCTGCTGCCCCTGCCACGGCTCGCAGTACGATGAGAACGGCAAGGTGGTGCGAGGCCCCGCCCCGCTCTCCTTGGCACTCGCGCACACCACCACCCAGGATGGCAAGTTGGCCCTCACCCCATGGCCCGAGAAGGACTTCCGCACCGACCTGGACCCCTGGTGGAAGGTGTAAACATGTGTTGGCAAGGCGCACGCAACTGTCTCGAGAAATGTGCACTCTGTGCTGCAATGAGTCGCAATAGCACACAAGCTTGTTTGATGCTCGTCTCAGCAAGTACTGTAGCATCTCCGCGGAGCAATGGCCACACACGTAGTGTGCGCTGCTGCGTGTATAGACGGAGCTAGAGTGGAACACACCGCAATTTTTCCGATTCTCCGCAGGGGTGATCTATCCTGTTCTACAGTGCACGCGGCCTCGGTGATGTTGCATCGATAGTTCTCGTTTGAAAGGCTGAGGGGGAATCATGAGTACTGGTCTCGACGTTTCACGATGAGGGGATGCTGCAGTGCACGAGACTGGAAGCAAAACACAGTTGAGTTCACTGCACTTCGAAGCCATCCAGACCCCGTTTCCTGTTTGATGACGCGCGCCATTCCGCAGGGCCTGCAGCCAGAGTGTTGCTCAGGTTGAGCCAGACATACTGCGCTCGGCGAGTGAGGCGGTAGGACAACCCAGCACTCGCGGAAAACGACCTGCATCCGCACCCTGCCGCTGCGAGCGTTTTGAGGATGTTGTGGCCGAGCTCGGGTCGACAGAGAGCTTCGGTGAGCTGCAGGGCACCGAGAGAGACGAATGCGGACTCGGGAGGAGTATGGCGCTGAGCAGTGCGCCTTTCAGGTCCTTGATTTACAACACCTTCCGCGAGGCGAGGCAATCTCCTCGCGGCTGTTCGCCTTTTATTTCGCACAAGTAGGGCGGATGGCGGATGGCACTTGCTGCTTGTGCAGGCGACCTTCAAGGCAGTGGAAGATTCCGAGGCCGCGGCTGTCCTGCTGTTTCTCGCATGCGACCGACTTAGAGAGCTTGGCTAGGCAAGCTGCCTTGTTCACTGAAGCCACCTGCCTGCAGGTCTACGTGATTTCTCGGAAGTCAGAGACCTGGACGCATCCTGTGCAACAAGCGGCTGATGACAGCAGGCACTGTGTAGGCCATCATTGCCGGCATGGCTCCTGGTAGAGTCAAATGCCGCTGCAAACGGCGTGCGTGCGTGCGTGCGTGCGTGCGTGCGTGCGTGCGTGCGTGCGTGCGTGCGTGCGTGCGTGCGTGCGTGTGTAGAAATGGTGCAGATGCCAGGGGCGACAGTCTTTTTCCGGGGCCTTGCTCGGTGTTGAACTTTCTGCACACGACACTAGCCTTGGTCCACCACGGCAAGTGGTATCAGACTGCCGAGGCATTTCAAAGCTCATTTCAATCGACGTGGGCCTCGATTCAAGGACATCAGTGGTGCACAGCAAGCACTTGCACCTCTCTAGACTCTAGAAGCAGAACATGCGTGGGCTTTGCAGGACTATTGTGCGTTGCTCGACGAGGCCTTTACAAGTTGCAGCAACATATACAAATTCGTGATGGGGGAAATACGTGTTGTGACACACTGTGCCGTTGCAGGCAGTGGCATCGGACCATAGATCTTTTCTATCGGTTCAAGATTTACGGAAATATGTGCATATCAGTCTCGGGTTGCATCGGCTTCTCGGCAGCATCCAGACAAACCCTTGACCCACCTGTCGCAGGTGCCTGCTCTTTGGCCTCTTCTCCGTGCAGAACGTGTCTTGGTCACACTTGAGCTTGTAGTGGGGGCCTGCGCAATCAAGACCAGTTGGATGTGATGTCTTGTCTGGTTGACCAGTCGGAGCTGCAATGAGCTGCATGTCGCAGCATCTGGGCTCAGCAGCTCTGATCGACGCACCGAGCTTTGTACTGCCCAAATGGCATTCAAAGTATTGTCCGTTGGACTTGTGGTGCTCTTGCCGGTCACTGGTGCTCCGGTAAATGCGAGCTGCATGACCGAAAGCGAAGATCAGCTGCAAGCTTGCGGGAAGGAGTGTTTGCACAGTGCTGCTCGTGGATCCTGTGTGACTGATTGCTTGCAGCGCCTGACCGTTCCGCTCTTTTGCGCTGAATGCCTTGGAACGAAGTTTGACTGTGGTGTGCAGTTCTGCAAGTCGGATTGCGTCGCATCGACGAAGTCGTGTTCCTCCTGCATCGACTCCTTGTGCACGGCCTGTAGCCAGGCACTCGACAGGTCCATGCTCAAGCTGATTGCGGTGCATGCAGAAAGTGGGAGCCAACCAGCCAACTCCCAGCCGGCCTGGCATTCAGCGGAACAGCCTAGTATCCTACCATGAGTGATGGGCGCCGATTATGGTTTAAATGCATGGAATGTAACATTGCACAGCATTAATTACTCTCTCCCGAGAGCTGGTATACGATGTGGCTGCTTATGGCAGTGTGACACCCATGTAAAGGCATGAGTGCTAGCGTTGTAGAGCTCAGTCCAGTTGCCGTTTCTGCTGTACAGGCGTGCCCGCCATTGGCTCCACTTGCGTGTTCTGATTGCAATGTCTGTCGCGCGGGCGTGCGGGGCGTCCCCGCCCTCACCAAAAGCCAGCAGTCTCGAAAAGCACTGTAGCAGCTTTGGGCTATGGGTGGCAGTGTTCGGGCACAAGTTCATGACCGAGTTGGAGAACGTGCCAGGCTGGGAGTTGGCGTGCAATGCGCTCGGCCTTTTCACTTTCAGGCGCCGGTCGCTCCGACCTACCGGTTTTGTTTTCGCATGCCCCATGACTTCAAATGCAGCTGAATCTCAGAACACACAGGATTGACAGTTTGCAAGGGGACATCTGAGACCATGAGTTTAGCCGCACAGCATCTCTTTTTGTAGGCCTGGTGAGCGGATCATTCATCAGGGGCTACAGCGGAAGGCCGACGAATCACAGTGCGAGATCATGTCAGAAATTCCTTTCCTGCGAGTCGGCGCTTTGGTACATCGTCTTTTCAGGCAGCTGCGCCGCGGTCTAAGTCCGAAGGGCCCCGAAGGGCCCCGAAGGGCCGGAGCTCCGACTGGGATTGGGTGGGTCTTTGTCTCTTTCGAGGTTGTGTCAGCCAGTCACACAGGGCCCGACGGGCAGGCGAGAAGCATCGACGTTGCAGTCCGAACAGAGTCATTGTCAGTCGGCTCCCAGTGCAGGAGACCACGGAGGTGATCTCCACGCTCCGGCGGCCAGGCCGGACCGGTTGTGTCCATGAGCTCCAGACAGCGGCCCGCTTTCTTTCGCCCGGCCCGGTTGCAGCTGTGGTGTGGAGGCCACTTTGGCGAGCGCTCTCTTCTCCGAGGTGGTGAACATGCCATCCCAGAGGCCGCATTCCAGCCAAGCTCCTGTGTGTACTGTACATTTCGCCTTGACGGGAAGAGAGTATCATGAAACGTCGTGACAGGTTAGTGTTGATGCTGGCAAGGAGGGCCTGGTGTGACGGAGCCTGAGCTACTCTGGCCACAGACTGAAGCCAAGGCCCTGATCTGCTGTCAGGAATTGGAAAGTTTTGCTCAGGTCTCGCCTTCGAGGGTCAGGCATGGTTCGATGTTCCATTCAATGACGAAGAACCAAGCCATGCGTCCGAATTTGCCCCTGTGTCCTTGGGAGGCCATCCGCGTCCTTCTCGAAGAGCTTTCTATCCAAGGGGCTTTCGGGGACGGCGCAGAGGCTTGGACTGAGCACAGGGATCTCGGCTAGATCGCGTCTGCCTCAGCAGGCACTGCTGCCCAATGTGAACAGCCTGAGCTCTATTGTCGGCAGCTGATATCAACGGAGCTGCGTTGTCTTCGATGTGTCACGCAGAATGATGGTGCAGCCACTGCTGCTGAGGAGTACGAATTAGCCAAACTTGGGCGCATGCGCCGTCAGCGTGTCCAAACCGAGGACTGAGATTAAAAAAAAGTCCAAGCAAAAAAAGTGGCTCTCACAAACACAATTTTCTGTCCGATATCCCGATTGCCACGAACTCCCAAGTTTACAGCTCGTACTCAGCGATCCATCTAATGGAACCTGCGCAAGGAGATTGACATGATGAGCCTCAACAAGGCACAGTTTCAGTTTCACGTGTCCGAATAAACACTTAATCATGAGAAACCTACAACATGACGTAACGAGATATGAAAAGTGAATCACAACATGCAGGTGTGCCATCTGGGCCGCGGCGGCTTTGCCGACGTCTACTTGATGGAAGACAACGTGTCTCGGAAGAGGCGGGGCAGGGCACACGATGCACGGGCCGCGGATGTAGCAAAGAATTTTCGTGTGATCTCTGGTCGTACGCGCTGCAGCTCTGGCCCTCAGCTATTTGCAGCTTCTGCCGTGTTCTTCTGTGGTCTGGCTATCATGAATCATGTCATCATGTCTCGTCCAACCTTTGTGAGGATGCGAAGCCCTGTAGCCAGGTATGCGATGAAATGCATCTCAAAGGCTCCGAATGCTTCAGCTGTGGTAAATGCAAGCCAACATTCGACCGGCGTGCTTGTCCGACTGAATCGAACGTTAGACGCAAGCTGCTTTGTAGCATTCTAGTTTCTTGGTTTCTTGAGCTTCACACTTGGAAGGGGCATGTGGAGAAATTCGAGGCAGTGCGACAGGCTGGTCGGACTGCGAATTCGGTGTGCGCTGAGCCTCGCCAGGGCATCAAGTCTGCAGAGGGGCTTTCTTCCTAGCCGTACTGAGGATCTACAGCATGCAAGTCCGTGTGTAAGGCCAAAAACACTCCTGTTAGGGTAAGCAAACGCCTGGAATCTCGCTCAAGACTTGCTACTGCCAGTGCCGTCGAAGTTTGAAAGCTTCTGGACTACGAAGTTCTCGTGTTGTACGGCACCACCTCCTCTGATAACCAACTGGTCGAACGAGTGTGAAAGGTCTGCTGGGAGCGAGAGATGCTGATGACAGCCCGATCTGGCTTGATTGCGATTCTCTTTTGCTCGCTGTTCGCGAATGTTAATTCAGCGTGTTACGAAACCCAAGAACAATTTGAAATTGGCAGGTTGACAGCCCCTTCGTGATTCGTTTGGTCCGCACGCACAAGGACGAGTCTCATATAGTTTTTTGCCACTTTCTTGTGTACTCGAGACGAGGCGAGAAAGCTCTTGGCAAGAATCCTAATGTGATGCCGGCTGCCAGGACGCTGAGTTCTTGTACATTTTGCTGGAGGCTGCCCAGAAACTGTACTCCGTAGTTGGCATGGGAAAGTGGTGCTGGCCTCCCGATCTGCCGGTCAGGCCGCGCTCGGAGGAACTCTCTACAAGGCGCGAAGCTGACGAACGTGCTTTCTGTGACAGCTTGCAGCGTATATGATCACTTCGAGTTGAATTTGACCTGCCAGTTGATGAGACAGAAGCCTGAGGTCCGTTGCTTTGGGATCCTTGTCGTTCCAACGCTGTGTCGTACACTGCAGTGTTTAGCACAAGAGACAAGAGTTATGCGGTCAGACGAGGGCATCCTTCGTGCTCAGGTGTTCTGTGACGATGAGCCGAGGGGAAGTTCATCCGCCTTCTTCGCCTGTAGCTCAGTTACTGTCACAGACATCGGAAACTGTTGCGAGTTGTGGAATTCGAGCTCGCCCTGCCCAGGTCGGCTGCATCATTGCGGCGCTCGAACACTTACATGACAGGCGCAGTGGTTTTGCTTCCTCTTTCCGAACTCCGCCGAGTCTGAGTCTGCAGGCGCATTGTGTACCGTGACCTGAAGCCCGAGAACGTCAACTACCAAGCTCGAGACGTGCGCAGATTGACTAGAAAATATTGCGCTGGCTAGGTCCTGCTAGATGAGGGCGGCTATGCGAAGCTTTGCGACATGGGGTGTGCTGCCGAGATTTGGAAGGGATGTGTCATGGGCTTCCGTCCGTTCGCACGAACCGTGTGACACTCCCAGGTTTGCTCGTTTCGTCATTTCCAAGACGAATACTCTGGCGGGTACTCCGGAGTACATGGCTCCAGAGGCCGAGCCTTCAAAGGACCCAAAGGATGTTAGCGTTAGCGGCAAGAAAGCGTGGACGCAGGTCATCGACTTCCCGCATGCTCATGACGTGACCTGTGACTGGCTCGTTCCTTATGCCTGGGATTGTCTGGGTAATGCTGGTTCAGGGGGCTCTAGCCTTGCCCACACTCTGTCCGGGTCTTGGCACATAGCTGCAGCCTGTAGTCAGGCAGCAGTCAGCGTGATGGCAGCTTCAAATCAAGCAGTCCTGGACAGGTCGAAATGGGATCAGACTTTAAGAAGCATGGAAAGACAAAGAGATCAAGCATCGGGATGGGCTCGCTGATGCCAGCAAGGTCCTGGCTTTTAAGGCAAGGAGACTCCCAAGATTGATAGGCTGAGGTGCCCAAGCATTGGGCTCAGTATGAGGTAAATTATGAAATACTCCGATCTTATTTGATACAATCACTCTAGTACAGTTTAGCAATTTTCGTTTTGACCTGGGCTTGACGGGCGATGACGGACGGCTCTAAAATCGAGCAGTCGAGCCCAGGTGGTCATTGGGCGTGCTAACCTTCGAGCTAAATGCCGGCCAGCCTCCCTGGGAGGTGTGTGTTTCCGTCCGTACTTGCATCATCTTGTATCTGCTGGAAGCGTGGCTTGCGGAGGATGAGGGCGTGGCCGACGTCTTCGGGAGCTGAACTGCAAATGTTAACAGACACCTTTGGCTTCTGCACCTCTAGCGCAGGGTCGTCCTTGCACGCGGTTGCTTGCCAAAGTGAAAGTTCGCCCGTTTGTGTGTAGCATCCCGCGGCGCTGGGAGGAAGTTGTTGGCCATCAGGCGCAGCCAGGAGCGCAGCAGCCGTGTTGATGTTCTCCCGGCATCTCCCGGCTCTCCATGGACGTGTGAGGAGAAGGGCGAGCCTCGGTATCCCTTCAGCTGCTGAGTCCTCGGTCACAAGCTGGCGGAGAGTAAGTGCAGTCTTTAGCCTGAACAGGTCCTCTGCCCGTGCGAAGCTTCATCTCCAAGCTATTGTACCCTCGATGCACCGGCTGCGATTGAAGAAACTGCTGCATTCATGTCATTGGTAAGGACTAAGCTCCCTCACCGCCTCGGTGCACGCAAGGGTGCACGGGAACTACGGCCGGGGGCTCAGCTCTACCGGCAGAGGACAACTGACAACTCACACAGCCATGTTTTTTTGTGCAGCCCCGCGGGCCGAGGGAGCATTTCTTTTTCAAGAAATTGTCCTTCGACTTTCAGGTCCCGCAGTGCTCTAAGACTCTAAGCTTTCTCTTCTCTACAGCTAGAGTGCTCCAGGCTTTGAAGGCCCAAACTCTGCCGCCGCCCGTCGCGCGGCCTTTCCAGCAGAGGCAGGTGGCATGTTCAAGAAGCAAAGTCCGTGTGTGTGTTCTACTCAGGGAGAACGCGGTGTGCGGCATGGAGGACCTCTCAGGCTGGCGTGCTCTTGCGTGGCTCGTTGGACTTGAGTCATTCAGTCTGGACGAATGCATGTCTGAGCCTTGTGTCGGATGAGTCGTAGGCGAGCTCCTGAAAAACTCCGAGCTCTTCAAGCCTGTGCAAGGGGCTTGCATGTAGCAAGCTCAGCCTTCGTGATTTTGGCATACTGAGCCGGCGATGCAGACGTGCCGCCGTGCATGGCACTCCTGTCAGGTGGGATGCAGACTTCTGATTGAATTCGCGGCTGTAAAGGTCCATCTCATCTGCAGATAGCTGGATGCCGAGCTCTGACAGCCACAAATCGAATCAGCACGTGCGAACATGCTGAGGTCTGCACTTCTCTGTGAGTCGTTCCCTTCTCCAGGTGCCAGCTCCATGATCATCCAGAATCATTTCTCTGTCTCTTCTACCACCTCTTGCTCGCTGAGGCCACTTCGGCTCTCTCTTCATCCCTCCGTTGGCAAGCTTCGACCATCGATATACCCTTAGCAGGGTCTTCGCAAACTGAAGACCTGCTGGTCGTGCTGCCTGCTGCCCCATGAATTCCGGGTCGCACACATATAGCCTCATAGATCGAACTTCAATGTACGTGTGGGCGGTAAGTGGCAGCAAGTAGGAGCTTCCCAGCGAGACTGTGATGACAGTGTGGTGGAGCCGTCTGGGAAGCTGTTCCCAAGAAAGTGGGCAGAACGCCGGGGCAACGTAGCAATCATTGTCACTACGCTAGCATTTGAAGGGTTTCGATGAAGATTCAAGGCTGATCACGTCCAACGAAACAGCGGTTCTGAGGCCTACAATCCTACAGCACTACGCAGGCCCCGGATCGTGCCCCTTCAGAGTTGCTTGTACAGACGCGGCCGACACTTGCCAGTGTCGTTGTCTCGAGAAGCTGGTTTTCCGTACGTCTTCTGAAGGGCAACGTGCCACTGCGTGCGTTTCTCTGAAGAGTGCTCCTCGGGAGTACAGATGAGATTTTCGCAATGCTTTTAGGCCAGTGCCTGGCTACTTCATTAACCTTTTAACTATCATGTGATAGTCTTTTGATATCGGCACCTTCACCACAATTCTTTTTGCAGCCTTGGCAGTGGCTTGGCAAAGTGTCTTTGTGTGGCGATGTGGAGCAGCAGTGACAGATGGCTTTTGAATTTTTTGAGAGCCGCACAGAGACTTGCATGGCCTTTTGCATGTTCTGGCGTGTTTGGGCGAACTTCCATTGCCCAGACGCTGATACGAATCCTGGTCAGCCGCCTTCTGGAATGCCAGACGGCCGCAGCTCCCCTGACAATATCCAGCCAGGGTTGCATGATTCCATGATTCCGATACGCCTGTGGGAGATCTACTTGCGTAGATGGCAGTCTTGCTTCTTTCCCTTTCCGGTGCAAGGTTTTCCTGGAAGCGCTTTAGCCAAGCCAAGGTCACATTGGTATGTAGTAAAGACCTGCCCCAGTCATTGAGATGACGGCGACAACTGACTTGACTAAAGGTCCAGTCGCGCTTCTCACGCTCCTTTGACCGGTTTCTAGCTTCCCGACCTGTGGGTCAGCGGGCCACTTGGTCGCATCCTTTCTGTCCTAGGCCCAGGCGAGACGCCAGACCCGCATGCGGTCCAGGAGCGCGGAGCTTTGAGCGGAACAGTCCAAGGCATGCCAAGATATGTCCAGGCCCATGGGGGTCCCGCCGGCGAGTCTTCCCTCAAGTCCTGTCAAGTCCTCTAGCGAACACGGCTATTTGAACGGGTTCCGCAGCCCGTCTGCTCGGGCAACGCTCATGGAACGCTTTCGCAAGTGGTTGGGCGGCGGCGAATCAGACGAGTGCAAAGATAACGTCTTTGGCACTGGTTCCAATTGCGGTAAGAGCTGCCAACTGCCCTTTTGAGGGCCCTAGTGTAGCCGCTGCAAGATCACCAAGACTGTGCCTCTGAGTCCTATGAGCTTTTGTCAAGTGAGCAGAGCTTATGCATAGTGCACTGATCTCACAGTGGCGCCCAAAGAGCGAAGCCTGTCAGAATGTGCCGTGTACAGGATTGTAACGATATGGTTCTGCGCAGGCCTCGCTTGATGTTCCTTCCCCGTGCAATTCCGATACGTTCGAAACGGGGACTCGTTGCTGGAGGTTCCTGCAGCATCCGAGATGCTGACCTATCAGCGGGTCGCGATCCATGCAGGGGCCGGCGAAATGCGAGAGATTGCCGAGCTGTGAAGCCGTGATGTGTGAGCTTCCATGTCCTTGTGAAGCAAAATCTGAAGCGGGTTGGTCGCGGCCGACACCGTGGAGACTCCGTGGAGGCCGGGAGAAGGCTGTGCTTCCTATGAGTTTTGGCTACCGATGCCTTCCGAGAGGCTCCTGCGCTTGCCCGTGGGGCCTTTGCACCAAAAGGCCCGCGCAGGGTCTCTTCTGCAGTGCCGTGCAACCAGACCTTGTCGGTGAGGAGCGCTCATGCTTGCTCCGTTCACAGACATTCCTCTGCACATCTGCACTCAGCTTTAGAATCTGTGGACCGCCTGAAACATCTGAAGAACGACAGTGTGGACCCGAAGCTCTTCTAACGCAGGTTTCCCAAAGCAAGGACACACTAACACACAAACCACTGGTCTTCAAACAGTCAACGCGCAAATCTTCTCCGTGACTCAAGGCTTTTCCGCGTCCTTTCAGGTCGAAGCCCTTCGAAGCCAGTGGAGCCGCGGTGTGAAGCCGACGCTGGGAGATGGCGGAAGGGTGCGGCCAGAGTCCGTTACTATGCAGTTTTACAGCAAGAGGAATTTTTCTGCTTTGCATCATGTTCTTTCACGCAAAGACAGAATACCCCCGCTGCCTCCCCGGACAGCTGAAGTTGAAGGGCGAGCAATGTATCTATCCCGGGAATGTGTAGATGGGAAGCGGCCCAAGCCACGGTATATTGTTAGGCAAGATAGAGGTATATGCTTACAGCACACGGACACATGTAGTTGCTGAAAACTCAATCCATGACATGCCGTTGTTGGGTTTTCGTGGAGCATGTCTCCTCTGCGGTACCTTCAGCACACTCGTTTGTCTCGTTTACTGTCCCGGCTTCGTTTTCTGACTTCTTCGCATTCCCGAGCCGCTCAGCTTCTGGCAGATCCAGCGACGACATGATAAACAAGCTTGCATTGGCAGCAGTGGGACTTAGATATGAACGCATGTGCTCTGGTGTTGCACGTTGCAGCACGGTTTCCTCCGTGTCAAGAATGGATGCGCTGCACTTTGCTCTGCCACACCGGTGATGCAATGCAGGCACAACCGCAGACTGACCAGGACACATGGAGAAATGTCAGTTGTCAAACGATTGAGTGAGCAAGTTCCAGCCTCACGTTTTGCGAACATCGGATCCCAGACGGTACTCGACACCCGAGCTATAACCCCTCGAGCCTTCACCCAGGCATCAAAACGTTCAGCCATATCGGCAACCACCCAGCGCTTCAGAACAAAGCAGTGACTGTTGTTTCTACCACATGGCCAGTGGCGATGGCGCGGCAGGAGATCTGCCGGCTGAGGCAGGGCAGTGCAGCAGGGTCGGTGATCTTTCGAAGCAAAGCAGCTGCTGTTGAGATCGGTTCGTTGTGGGCGAAGCCAGCCGCCGTGTGGTAGGTAGCTTCCGTTTCCTGGCTGGTGGTCAGCGCTTTTGAGTCTTTGCACGTCGGATGTTTACCCGTCACATGGACGCGAAGGCCGCAGATCCAGATGCTGAGGAGTTGGAGCTGTTCGGGTCTGACGAGGAGGCTGCCGTTCGCATTCGAGGCATTCGCAGGGTGGTACGCAAGTCTGCTGCAGGAGGAGAAGGGCGTCAAGGAGCTCTTCGGCGATGACGACGAAGGCCGCAGCGAAGCTAGTGTCGTTCGGGTAGGAGCGCAGATGGCACGATGCTTTTGACTCCTGCAACGCCGAGGTGAAGAACTTGAGCTGTTCGGCTCTGAAGAGGAGCCCGAGGCGGCAGAGCAGGCCCGGCCACCGTATCGCACCAGCTTTGCGGGGATTGGAGCTTAGGCCCCGTGAACCGGCGGTAGGTCCGGTAGGTAGTCAGCCGCTTGTCTCAAGCTTCAGCTGATGCCATGTAGCGGACGTGTGCCATTCGGGCCAGGCTCCCTCTGCGGGCCCTTCTGCACCTGCCGCACAGGTGGGAACGCAGTCGGTTGCAGGGCTGAATGCCAGTGATGATTGACTCCGCCCGTAGCAGAACTGCCATCATCCTGGGTCCCTTCTTCCTTGAAGGCTCAGCCTCCGTCGGTGATCAGCGAGCTAGCACCCTCGCCGCGGTTGTGGTCAGAAAGCGTGCCAAGGGCTATCTTCGTAGGTTCCGACGAATCCAGTAAGTGAGTTTTGCCTTGCGATGCTTGTGGCCCTTATGGCTTGGCATTGCCTGCCCCCTTGCACTGTCACAAGCAATCAGCCTCAAGCTGCCGAGTAGGCTTCGTGTAGCCACGGAGCGACCGAGGACGAGAAAGACATCTTCGGCGATTTCTCAGATGATGAGCCCGAGAAGGAGCTAGCTTTGCAAAGAGAGTTTCTTCTGCCATGTGCAGAACAGTTGGAGCTGGCGGAGGCATGTGCAGTACATGAGCTTGTGCAGGGCCCTTTGCTCGGCCATCCGTCCTGCATCGTAGGAGCTTAGCATTGACGTCACTGAGCGCATGATGCCAGCTGCCGACAAGGTGCCTGCCTAATTTTTCCTGCAAACATCTTTGGTGACCTGCTGGATGCAAACTTCACAGCACCACATTGCTTCCAATCGCTTGAACCGATCCTTGAGGACCTCATCAGCATTCGCCTGCCGAACATGCTGTCTTTCGATGATGCACAGTATCGCCCGGAGCCAAGTTGTGAAGTGGGCGGATGCTTGCAGCCCAATTCATTTCAACCAAACACAAGCGAGCTGAAGGGTGACAGAAGGATGCAACATATTCGTACTGGGACAGAAGTGGAGCCATGGGCGAGTTGTTTGAGCTTGTTCTGTGTGCAGGCTTGCGGTCGATCTACAGCCCTCCTTTGTATCCTGTGCATGTGCGCATGGACTAGGGCTCGGCCCATGTAGTGTTTCTGCCTGAGTTGGCATGGAATCCATCACGGACACGCTGATGGAGGGGTACAAAGAGCCGCAGCCCAAGTGCCACAAAAGTTGTTGAGATGTTGCACGGCTTCACGAGCCCTTCACGACTGCTTACAAAGGTACAAGAACACAAGGGGACAAAATGCTGCGCACTTACGACTCATCACATTGAATGTCACTGCTCGTGGTCGACATCGTTGATAGTAGGCTTCGAAGTCATCCTTTTCATATAGACATTCGTGTGCATGTAGCCGTGAATCGTGAAAGTGTTTGAAGCTCGAAGGTGGTGAGCCTGCAAAACCCCGAGAACTGTGTACGATGGCGATTGGAGCAGGACGGAGCCGCCACCCTTACCCTACCGCAATAAAGATCAACATAGTGTTGCTAAGTATTGCTGCGCTGCATGTAGACATGTAGCATGTAGTGCAGCAAGAGACTTACTTACTGGTAGGGGAGACGACAAGATACGGCCAGATGAAGAAGACTGATGAAGATCTAGTCGACAGAAGTTGCAAGAGCGACGTCTAAATCGAGGATGAATATGGCAACAATGTGTTGGACTCTACGGGGCGGCCCGTTCACGAGCCTGGAGCTGATGTGGATGTGGATGATGTTCCCGGTTTGTTGACTTGTGAAGCTGAGATCCAACTGCCGGCTTGTGCAGTGGGAGGATGAGCCGGGCCCCTAAGGACCTAGGCCCTAGCCGCCCGGAACGCCAAGTCTTTGTCTTTGTCTGGCACGGAACGCCAAGTGCGGACCACTAGCGTGACCTAGCTTGGACTCGAGTGCGTTCTTGGCTGATCCACGGCTTCCAAGAACGTGGACGCTCTTTGTGGGGGACGAACCCTTCCACATCACGGAGGTCGCAGAGAGGCCATGCTTTCTTGCATGGCAGGAGGGTGGTCTTGCAATTTCCTCCTTTTTGCTTGGCCACGCAGGAATCCCATCTTCGAGGTAAACAGCCAGGACGTTTATGTCTGCCACGGAGCCATCTCCAACAAGCAAGACACTCAGCCTAGTCGCCAGATCCCACATCGCGAAAGTTTTACCGCCATGACTGATCCAGTTGCGAACAAAATGCCGATGCAGGCAGTCTGCTGCAGCATTTGAGACGGATAGAGAGGGACTCCAACAGTGGGACCCGGCGGTTTTGCATGAAATGACGGCTCAGGTTAATCGCTACTCCGAGATCCATGGAATCAGCGTCCCACGACATGTGCGACACTTAGTTGGTCATCTGCTTTGCCGTCCGCTCACTCCATCCCAGTAGGAGTCCACCCCCGTGCAGGCTAAAGAAGTCCCAGTACCGGAAACACGAGCCCGTGCGGCGATCGCTTCTTATGACAGCCAAGATCCCAGTGGGCAACATGTGCAATCATGAGATTGAATATCTCTGTCTGTGTGCTTCCCTATGCGCCATTTGTAGTTGACTTTATGAAGCAAAAGCTGCGTAGGAGAATATATAGGAGATCAGCAGTCGGCCTTCCGATGCGGTCTTCTAAGCCCCTAAGTACTTGTGGTGACACATTGCCAGGAGACCGAGACTGCAGAAGCAAGGCCGGGCTAGTGGCGGTGCGGAATGAAGGGTCAGCGGAGCCTTGACACTGCCCTTGCACAGGCAGGTGCTGGACATGGAGCGTGAAAACCGCAAGCTTCGGGAAAGTCGTCAGAAGCAGTGGGCCCAGTGTGCTGCCGTGTCGCCAGTCGGTGCAAAGCGGCCTAGGATGTTATGCCACGGGTTGCAAAGTGACTTTCGCTGCTGGTGTTGCGCAAGCGGCTACCCCCAGTACCCCTGCATCACGGCATCCCCTCATAGCCCGAGGCGAGCAATGGGCGATACCGCTTTGCCAGCCATGACGGTTCCTGCGCTGAGCATTCTCTCTCACGGCACGTTGCCATTTTCAAGAGTTTGCAAGTGTCTGCGATACGGTGGGTAGAGTTCCTGCCGAACAGATTAGCATTGCCACGGCCTAGGCTGGCTTCCTCGAGGATGTTGGCGGCCTCAGGTTGCAAGAATGACACGTTTTGTGACTGGTGCCCCGCCCCTCTCAGGACCAGTCTGTTCATGGTCCCAGCATTGCGGACCTCAAGAGGCTTCCCACTGCATTTCATTGCTTCTGCAGCGGTGCGGATCCGTCAGTCAGGCAGTACCGAGAGGAAGCAGGGCGACCCGCCCGGCTCCCAACACTCCAGCTCACCGTTTTCTTCAGCCTCGGTCGACTGGCAAGGTCGGAGGGAGGTGCAATTCTGAGTTGTCATAGCTAATTTTCTTCCTAGGCTGCCAGGATATGTTGCCGTGGCAATGTTGTTAACGTGTTGTTCTTTCCTAGAGTTATGCGCGTCACGTAGACAGCGCTGTGCCAGTGTTAATCGTGACGGAGGAGGAGGAGGAGGTTGGGAGTCCGTGAGGAGGCACTGTTCCTTCAGCGGTTACTGCATCCGAACATCGCGAAAGTTCGGCGCCTCGTGACGTAAGACAGCCTTTACGAAGTCTCCGCAACGGTTGAGCCTGTCAAGCGCTCTGGGTCCAAGCTGCTTTGCAGTAGGCGACCTTCACAACCTGCTCCTTCGCGAGCCCCGGGAGCGAATAGCTCAAGATGAAAGAAGACCTTTTAATTTACAGTGCCAGGTCGCACATCCGGACCGGGCCCTGCTTACATGGCTGCGGCCGCTTCTGGGAGTCGCAGCTTCGCGGCCGATCCGGAAGGAGTTGATCGACAATCTCATGCGGGCCATGACACATTTAGCAATCAACGAGCGCTTGGGCCAGCAACTATCGCTTCCTGTCGAACCATTGACTGGACTTCAAGTGGTGTCACTTTTCTGGAACCTAACACGGCCCGTGTCAATTAACATGGGCCCTTGTGTGGAAACCGATCTTCAGGCAGTTTTGTTTGGGGCTGAAATCCTTCTATCTCGAGCTTGGTCGACCCAGTACACCTGCCCACAATATAGCCCGCCTCGCACAGCCAGGGGGGGGATAGCACCCACGTTGGGCCAGGTACCCAATCCCTTCAGGACCAGTACGCATATAGCCTGCCTTGCACAGGCAATGGAGACGGTAGCACGCGCGCTACGCCAGATGCAGACACTATCCTTACAGATCAGGACCATGCTTTCAGGACCATATACTCAATTTTATCTGCCCTCCGGGAGAATACAAAAGCCTCGCGAATTGAGATCCAGGCTGGTGTCGCGACGTTTCGTAGGTGACTGTTTTGAGTTTCGGGTCTAGTGTTTTGGTTTAGCTTCGGGTTAATTACATTAAAGCTATCATATAGAGCCACAAAGGATTATTTCAACAAAGTTTTTACTTTGGATCTAAGGGGCCGGAAGTTTCGGGTTTCGAGACTTGAAGGGTTCAGGGATTGGAATTTTTATCGACGTACTTGTTACCAGAAAGTCTAGCATTTGGTGGGGGTTCGTTCCTGTCCGGATTATTTTCGGCTGCCTACAAATGGCTTTTGCTCATAGCTCTCATCCGTCTGTACTGGATGTTATACATCTGGGGCAGAGGGAGTAGGATGTTGGGAGTTCGGCATCTGGCTAATTCAGGGCTTCAATAGTTGCCTATCCTATCTTGGGGGTTCCTGATTACAAGTATAATCCAATCTAAGATACACCAAAACCCTTTTCTAATTACTAAGGCCCCTATATTATATAGCTTCGGGATTGGATGTCGGGCTTTGCGTAGGGGGTTTAGGGTTTAGGGTTTCGTGTTCGCCGTCTTGTGAACAGTTTCAAGCCAGAGGACACTTCCGTGCCAGAAACCTGCTGTGTTGCCAGCAGGATTCTGAGTGTAAGGGTTCCAAATGGGTGTGCAGGAGTGGGTTCGGGAGTAGCGTTTGGGGTTTATGCAGTTGGCAAGCTTAGGATATTTTGTGCTTGCAGTTTGTACGACATTCTCAAACTCACACCCACACACACACATGCGCACCCACAGAATTTCAATTTCTCCGTCATTGCAAGATGTAGCCCTGAAAATGGTAGTAGTACATAGGTAGTTTGAGCCATGGGTAGCAGCTACACAGCTGCTTTCTTCTTGCAGCTGTTGGCTTCTTGTTTTGTTCAGAATAAGGAGCATCTACACAGAAGCGTGCATAGTTGCCGATAATATTCCTAGGGTTCCTATTTAAAATCATACAGGGACGCAAAACTCTATTATGATGATTCGCCACTTTCCAGCAAAGCCTCTACACCCCGGTAAAGCACTGCAAAGCAAAGGTGCCAACACCTTCCGGCTGTAGTCCCGGAAAAAGTCAGGTGGCACATTCTGAAAACCATAGATAGAGGGCTTCCAAACTGCTGGATGTGATGAATGGTAGAATGTTTATTCTGAATTCCTTTCAGGGAGACACAGAGACCACCCACACGTCCGTCATTCTGAAACTTCGACGTTCTCAGGCGCGGATAGGTGCTGTCAAAGAAAAGAAGATGTCGTACAGAAAAGCAAGGATGGTGGCTTGGAGATGCACAGGGGATTGTGAAATATCTATGTAGAGCCTGATGAATAAACATCAGAATAAAGGACGTGTGGGTTGTATGTGCGTCTACTTGAAAGGAGTCTTGAATAAAAAACCTACCCTTCAACACAGCCAACAGTTTGGAAGCCCCCGATAGTTTCAAAATGTGCCGCCTGACTCGTTTCGGCGTTCGAGCTGCAAACTTACCTTCGTTGCGTGGCAACCCTATGGCATAAGAATGTGCAGCCGGCTTAACATACGACGAAACGCATTCGCCCTTGGCGCCTTGCCCGGAACACGTCAAGCTATTTCCCGTGACGAAGCTCACCTGCGATCACTCGGATATTGCAAGCCAAAGCACGAAACAAAGTGTTTGTTGGCAGTGTTTTGGAGATCAGTTCTCCATTTCCGTGGTACCAGCTGCCAACCTACATGTTTGCACACTAATGTGGAAACTTTTGCAAGGTAGGTTTATAGGGGGCGTAGTATATACATATATGTATGTATATATATACATATACACATGCATATACACATAAACATGCGTGTGTGTGTATGCATGTATGTATATATGTTTGCATGCAGGCATGCATGTATGTATGTATATATGCAAAAAAGATAAAGTGAGAGTAGAAGATATAGATGTAGATGTAGGTGTATGTGTAGACGTAGATGTAGATTTAGATGTAGATATAGATATAGATATTATAGATAAAGATACACGCACGCACACACACATACACGTACAGTGCAGTGCATCAGGACGGATTGATTCCGCAGGCCAAATTGCATAGAATCTGTCTACACAGGGGTCGGAACAATTTCCAAAACTGCCTCCGTGTATATCGCCAGGTCCCTAGCATCTCCCAAAGCACCATGGACCGTAACACACCGTGTCGACTTCAGCCGCGGATGACCCAGGCCAAGCGGCCAAAACAGGACGAATCGCCTTCGCCTACCCGGTGAGTTCGAATCACTCAGCAAGCAGGAAAAGCTTTCGGAGAGTGGATGTCTGCTAGTTATCGTTCAATTTCGCTTCGCGTGGGAGCTGTTGTCCGATCGCGTGACTAGCAGTCCCCTGCCTGTGTTCATGCATGAAGTCCTTTCCGCTGCCGTTTTGTCCGCTTACAAATTGGGCGCGACGGTGTCCTAGACAGAGATCCAGGTGAGGGCGTGCAGGGTTGGTGAAGATGACTTTGTGGAAGTGTTGATGTCGTGCAGTGCGGAGAGTGGGCAGCGAAAGAGTCTTCAGCGCACTCCTTTCCTAAGAGAGCTCTAACTCGGATCCGTCGGCAGGTTCTGTGCACCATGGGTGGCCTGCTATCAGGCATGTCGGCCCTTGCGCTTCCTCGATATGAGTGCCAGCTTTGTGCAGGCCCGTCGACACAGAAAGAGTCCGGAGATGGCAGGCAGGTTCCCGAATGGTTTGACTCGAGACTCCAGCTGAGGTGTTGACCCGGAATGCGCTCCCCTCTCTTCAGCATGCTGCAGGTCCTTGCAGAATGGACTGGAATGGGGATTCAGCGCCATGCAGGGTTGGTGCCACTGGCATGCCTTTGAATCTGCAACTGGATCTCATCATCATGACCATCCGATCCAGTCGTGGCCTCCTGTTGCCACAAATGGCGAGGCGCGACCGAATGGAGGACGCACACTTGGCATCTTGGCAGCACCAGCAGGATTTGCAGTTGAAGGTGGGACTTTCCATGCTGCTTTCTAGCATCGACTTCTCAGGCCATCAGCTCACTGGGCTCCGCGGCAGTGTCGAGCAGTCCCGCACCAAGCACGCAACCCCACAAAGCCATCGCTAGCTTCGTTTGGGGTTGAAGGTGCCCGTTGGAGAGACTCGTCGCTGTTTGCTGTCATGGTCGCTGCCTTGGCATTCTTCCTTTCTGGCGCAATGCAGTCAAGAAGGGAGACAGCAACGACTGAACGAGTGTTGCAAACCAAGGACGGCCATGGGGGCGAACAGGTTGCCCAGCACGGGCTCCCGGGATGTTGGTTTTGAATTGACTTAGTCCTTGGTGGAGCACTTCCGGGAACCAGCTGCTGTCTTGAACGGACTTGCAAGGTTCTGCCGGTGCCATTTCCCTGACGAGCTGGTGCTGCAGAACAGCCAGGCGCAAATCCTAGTACTTGCTGAAAGGCTGAGGTCACCTGCAGCACAAGTGCAACACATTAAGGCTCTCCACTGAGTACCTAGCATGTACTGATCGTTTCTACCCTGCCGCTGATGCTGCTGACGCCGACCCAGGACGACGGCGATGACGACTACTGCTGAATGTCACCGATAGGGTCACGTCCATTGCTGCTGCTGCTGTTGTTGTCATCCTCACCTTGCCTTCCATCATAGGTCCTCCACCATAGACCTCTCAACAACCACCGGCCGCCATGCATCATAACATCACCTACAAGTCCCATCAGGTCTTCATATCTTCAATGTCATCAACAGCATGGCAGTGACCGCTCCAACCATCAGTATCTTCTTCAGCACAATAGCTGAAGCATCCGCCATCAGTATTTGCAGAAGCGCTTTTCGCTTCGGTGCGAACCGCTGCGTTTGGACAGATATAGATCAGATTGGGAAGCATGGTGAAAGTCATGAACATCAAGCGCATAGCCACGAGTTGACGCAAAGTGCAAAGGCCACAAAGAGTCGGAAATGGCTAGCGGCTAGCATGTTTCCTCAAGGACTGCAGCGATGCGCTTATGCGGGCCTTCCACCGCATGGACTCAGCGGAATTGTCGGGGATGCTTCGGGCTATCGTGGTCATGGATCAATTGGATCATCATGGATCGTTTAGCGAGCTACGGGCGACCTAGCAAGCTTTGGCCAAGTTTTGTGTCAGATCTCTGCTTGATCCAGAAGCTTCCCTCGAAAACCGACGAGTAGTTGCTAAGGACGCCAGTGAAGTACATGCACATGTTGAGTTCAATGCGAAGGTGTCAGCTGAGGGGTGTGTGCTGTTTTAGCACTCCCTGTGGCTTTGCACTTGCAATGCAATGCATGTTGCTTTCGCTCCACAGCGCTGCTCTCACCACTCGTTGGCATCAAACTCCGGCTCCCGCATGCTCCTGCGAATCACGTGAACTTCGCCAGTCTCAGTCGCAGTTAAGCTCCCAGCCACCCTCTTGGCAATGCGGCACCCAGCAGTGAATCGCAGCGAGCACGAGGACACCCTGTTGATGGACCCCCACTCCCTGGACGAGCTGCAGAGCCTGGGTCGAAGCGTAGTCGTGACCTTAGAGCCAAGGTGCAGTAGAAGACTAGGCGCGTCCATGAATGTTGACGGATTTTTCCAAGACGAGGCTTTCAAGTCTTGGGCCAACCCCGAAATCATGGGCTGCACCATGGTGGGAGCCCCAGGGAGGGAAGTGGGAGAAGGAACTGGGAACTGGGGATAGTTTGTTGGCCATTTCTGGCGCGTGCACTCTCAGGTGGCGGCTGTGGTGCGGCCTGACGCTATCTTCGTGGCAAATGCTGGAGATAGCCGAGCTGCACTTTGGCTTGGCAAACTTGGACCTCGCATGTTCGCCAGTGTTCTGGAAGATTGCCAAGGTACTCTGCAGACGAGGAAAGGCAATAGACATGTCGCAGACTCGGTACATCCGATTTGGGAATCGTTGTTTGCAGCTGCAGACCAGCCGCACTATGCAGAGCTCCAGCGTCGCATCAACATTGAACAATATGTTCCGAAGCATTCCTTGTAGCAATTAGAGAAGACTGAGGTCAGAAGACCACAAGCCCAACAGTCCCGCGGAGCTGTCGCGAGTGCTGCGGGTGGACGGCTCAGCCAAGTTGGCCAGACGGCGAACGCACTCCATGTTGTGGCCATGGTTGCTGGTTGAGATTCTGCATGCTTCCGCCGTTAAGGCTGGGGGCACAGTGATGCAGCAACACGTGGGCAACCACGTGCACTACAGTGGGGGTCTTCGGCTATCGGCTTTCACGAATAGTTGTACTTGTTTGCCATGCCACCGTCCTTAAGGAATCAATGGCAATTTGAATCTCTCCCGCTCCATCGGCGATTTACTGTGCGCCGTAGGATTGCTTGAAGTCAGACTTGCGCAACTATGATGTTGAGGATGAAGTATGCAGAGCCCAATGTAGACTCTACCACGGAGCTGCTTCGAGCTGCTCTGTAGCGAGTGCAGCGCCTGCACAGCGGCTCCATTTAAGCAGATCGTCTTGGACGGTTGGTAGTTCAGTTCTGCGGTAGGCAGCCTCGGTCGTTCAGGTACAAGCAGAACGCCTCCTTGTCCGCAGAGGTCATCTGCGCTTTCCTGTCGTGGTGGTGTTCACTTCAGACCCTGCATATTGAGAAACATGCCGGTCGTCCTTGGATTCTAGAAGACTTGAGGGTTCTGATACTGCTCCGGATTTGCAAGTTTGCCGAGGCTTCTTATCATGAGGTGAACAGCATCGTATTCCGACAGCTGTAGCCGTGTGATCGCAGGAGCAAGTTATCACTTGCCATCCAGATGTCCGATGCTTCAACCGCCAGGCACCTTCTCGACAACCCATGTGCGTTGGCATAGCCTGTCGACGTGAGTGACACATGGGCAGGCGGATGACGAGTTTATGATCCTGGCTTGCGACGGTGTGCCAGTGGCTCAGCGCCTGGCTCTGGAGCAGTACCGGAGTCGTGCCGCCATCCACGCCGAGTATGTGAAGGAAAACAGCTCTTTTCGTATTCACAGGTGGGACGTCCTCAGCAGCCAGGACAGGAACGTGGCCCCTTGTAAGCGCTCCCTCTCCCTGGCTTCTTGACGATGCTGGCGGCTTGGAGGAGGCAGTGGACTTTGTCCGCATGCGCCTGGGCAGCTTCGCAGACCTTGCCTTCCGGTTGCAGGCCTCCTGCAAGGGGCCATTTCACTTGGGATGGGCAGGTTTCTTCCGGCTCGCAGGGTCGAACAGTGGCGGGTCTCTGGCCAGGAGGGGCGGTTGCGTCTCTCTTCCATTCTCGAGGACGGGCGGCTTAGGCGGAGGCAGCCTTTTGTTCAGCAAAACCGGCCGTGGGCCTTGGCCTTGGGAGGAGATGCTGGATGCGTGCATCTCCCCGGACCTGGCGCAGACCATGGGCATTGGAGGCCACCCTGCCGAGCTGTTCTCGAAGCACGACATGCACGACTTCATGTCTTTGTGGAAGGCGACAATATGACAGCCCTGCTGGTGGTCTTTTCCGAGGGAGGGCGCCAGGCCGAAAGATCACCAGCTCTCATGAGCACGCGCGGCCTTTGTGATATGGTTCTGTCCGAAGCTTGCTGCAGGCCAACTGGCTTGAGAGCACCTCTGTGTTGCCGACTCAGTCCCTGCCTTAAGACGTTTAGGCCTGGTTCCACACACAGCTGATCACAATTGCATCTGAAATGGATTCATGTAGAGACCACCGCTACCTGTCGGCAAGCGCGTTTTACCTTCTCGTCGGTCAGTTACCATGGCACCATTGGCACCATGTTGTGGCACCTTGTTGCATCATGTTGCAGAACTGTCAAGGTTCAGAGAGGTTTGGTCACTCCTGTAGTAATGGTCCGCTTGGCAAGCCCTTGCTTAAATGTTGATTTACACACTTTACACGGACAGTTTCTCTGCCTCTCTCCTCTTCAGCTTCTATAGCCTCTTCTGGAGTTTTGCTGTCTTTGAGGTCATGGATGTGCCCATACCGGTGACAAGGTCCACAGTGCAGTGAGCGCTGAAATCCTACTTATTCCACTACTATCACTGCTGCTGGAATCCTCGTTTCCGTCATCACACCATCTTTTGGTTGTGGCGATGCCGAGCAAGCCCGCCTCATGACACGCAATCGAACATTTTGGTTGAATTGCCAGCTGCTGTGGCAATCTGTTTCACACCTTGAAGAATGAGATGTTTCTTCGTCCATGCATATACCGCCATGCACCAGGCTGGCATAGAAGTTCTTCACGGGAAGGTCCTGCCCCAGCGTTTGTTAAGCTCGATGGGGCACACACGGGGACCTTTGGTTTTGGCTTTACTGGCTGTAGCGACGAAGTATTGGTGTGTGGGTGCCACTTTGCCAAGGAAGGAGGTGGCCGGAGGAAGTGTCTTGACGACGCTGCCTTTGTCACGTGGTTTCAGACCTGGGGCGAGTTTCAGGACTCCCAGGACTCCGAGCAAGATGGAAGTCGCGTGCTCGAGTCCTGCGGAGCCTTTCCGAGCACCGCTTCCCAGTGCAAAGCCCAGCGGAAGCGTTCGAAGAGTTGACCGTTCGAGAACAGCCAAGCTGATAGTCGCTCCAGAGATCCGTACCAGAGCAGTAGCACATGGAGTTTTCGCACAGTGTCGCGCCCTTACTCCGCGGCTGAAGGGGCACAGGGGGAATGACAACATGTGCTACATGTTGGCAACATACCAGACGAATGAATCGAAAACCTGTGTCATCCTGCCAGTCCACCTGTAGTTGTGTTTTGTGCACCACCCCAGCAGCTGACAATCAACCCCATACATCTATACTTTTAACAGTCTGACCAGGCCAGAGAATGTAGCTGGCGCCATGACTTTTGAAGACATCGAAGTGCCGCAGTTCTCGGAACAGAAGCCTATCGTTGTGGATGCTGCAGTGCCGGCAACTCAGACGTTGGATTCACCGCTCGCGGCCGACGGACGATTGCAAATTCCCAGTACATGATCATATCGAAAATCTGTCAAGCTGGCCACTCTAGCCATGGATTTTTAGCAAGAGGGTCCATAGCTCGGACATTCGAGCGATTCACCATTGAGTTTTGATAAGCTGCGACTCGTAGTGAGGGAGGCAGGTGCCGGTTACCGGAGGGCACATTGTAAGGATGCTTCGTCAGTGCTTCGACGAGAATCGATACATGTTCGCCACACTGCTTGAGAGGCAGCGGGCCTTCAACAAGCAGTTGCTCGAGCAGACCTGCAATGCAGCAGCAAGCCTTCCACACCTACTCGAGCAGCAAAAACACATTGCAGCAACAGCAACAGCATGCAGCAGCTACTTCGGAGAGTGTTTGAGGGCAAGGAGGAACGGCGGTACGCAGCGGCGAAGTGTGAAGGTAGAAGTTGAGGAACTGCGGTCTCCAACAAGTGACAGTTGTGCACGGGCACCATGGTGTTTGATAGTTTGCCACATCAGCATTCTTGCCGAAGGACATCACGCAGATCTGCTAAACACGGCTGCGCAGCACACCCCGTCCCCGTCCCCGCAAGATCTTGCGGAAGCGTGGTCAATTGATACGACAGGGCACCGGACAGGGCCGAAAGATGGAACAGGGCACCACAGGCAGCAGAGCTTGCAGATGCTCCTGACTAGGACGTATGCTTCCTCCTGCATGCACGGTCAAGGTGAGCACGCATGCGATATAGACTTGGAGCATTTTAGATGGGACTACAGCGAAACTTGCTTGTGCCTGCAAAGCAATCTGATGTGTTGTCTTGTCGCAACAGCCTTTGCTGGAGGTAGAAGGTTCTGAAGGTGCAGTATCAGGTATCAGGTGCGCTCCCTCCACTCATGCAATTCCCCTCCACTCTCCTTCAGCTCTCCGTCAACTGTCATCTTGCCAATCTCGCTCATCTCGGTGCCCATCTCACTCACCGACAGATAAGTTGTCCAGCTTCAGGCGGAAAAACCCAGCAAAGTGGCGGGAACGGAACAAGAGGCTCGTGAATGCTCCCGGAGCGCGGTGGATCGATTTGCAAGTGACACGTTATGACGTGCAGCTGTCAAGGCGAGCGCTGAGCCGCAAGGCTTCCCGGCCACCGCAAGCTCAGGGCGGTGAGCATGCGCGCTCCACGACAGAGCCCAGCTGGGAAGTCCAGCAGACGGTGCCTGCGCCAGAGGCCGGGCCAAGGTTTCGCTGAAATGTTGTTTGAAAGCCGTGCACTAGGAGACGGTGCCAGACCTGAAGAAGCAAGACTTCAAGAAACATCAGGCCGATTGATGTTTCGAGAAGCTGTGATGGGCGATGCTGCATCGGATATCATCGGATATCTGCTGTGGGGCCCTGGGGTTTCGCAGGGCATGTTTTGCAGTGATCAGGAAGTTTGCGAGGAGGCCCCCGACGATTCATGGAGCCAGAAGCCGCGACTTAGTTGCAGGGAGGATGGTGGGTACTGGGGTGCACGGGCTTGGACTGCAGAATATCACTAAATGGTCAGAAATCCGAAGGTTGATTCCCTTGAAGACTGTCCCATCAGGCAAGGCAGGACCATGCCGGGGGGATACTACGTGCGGAGCCTGGAGGAAGTCCACTCGAGCACCATGCGTGCGCGGTACTCAGACATGGCTACACTTCTTCGTTTCAATCGTGGGCATCTTCGGCATACGTGAGAGCTGCCGAGCTAGGTCATGTCAGGTCTTTCTGCAAAAGCTAAGTTCCGTGGACATCCGGCCTAGGAGGCGAGGCGACAGACGAAAGTTGCGAGGCCCTGAACGTTCGCCTCACCAAGCCCTACCAGCGCCCAGCGCATGGAGCAGATGAGGACAGTCGCCTGACATGAGCCATCTACACTCCACAAGTTCGAGTTGTGTGATAATTTTGCATGCCCTGCAGCATCTCACACGGAATGGGCCTGCGGCGAACAACAGGCGTTCAGCACGGGATCGTAGATCAAGTTTGTCAAACGTGCATTCCGTGGTCAAGAGAGGCGATTCTCCGTTGCTGCACGGTGTCTCTGAGGTTCTGTGCTGTTCTCAAGGACTCGGTATGAGTCACCGTTGGGCTTTCGCAAGGAGGAACGGCCGCAACGATCGTTTGGAGCTTGAAGCTCACATCCCACAGCAGACCAACTCCGGAGGCGTATGTAAGATTCTCAGTCAACGCTGGACTCCGACCATGGTCGCGACCAATTTCTCGTAACAAGGACTCAGGTTGAGAAAGCGAGCACGTACCAGGACTGTTGAATGAGCGAATGCAATAAGGGCTGCGCAAAACCTAGAAGCGAACGCGATGCTAGGAGAGGAAAGGTTCGTGGCATGCCGACCCCCACTGTACATTGCCTGGCACGAAGCCTGAAACCCATTGCAAACCTGCCGAACTCGTCAACGTACCGTTGGCGGATTCGGAAGACGCAGCTCGTGTATGGCCAGCAGTTTTCATGATTTTGTACCTTGGCAGTACCTGTGCAGCAGACGGTCTGTTGATTGAAGCGACTCCAAAAATCGCGTAACAGCAAAAGCAGGTCAGGATGTGACAGAACTGAGCTCGTGTCGGGTACACCGGCGCGGCACAGGCAAAAGGAGACAGGCCCTGCACACCGAAGCTGAGGACCCTTTCAAATATAGCCGCAACTAGCATGCGTAGGCTGAAGGGACAGCGAGCACCGGCTAGTCGCCAGGATGATGACCTTCCACCGCTTGAGCCTGAAGAGATGGGGGAGGTGAAGGCAGGAAAGTTCGGAAATGTCGGTCCATCGCGTTTTCGCCCCCATCGCGACGGGAGCTGAGCTTCTCTGGACAGGCGCCGAGCCCAGGGCGCGCGGTGCGTGAGGCGGCGAAGCGCGCGCAGGCTCGGGCACCCAAGTGTGGGAGGTATGAACATTGTGCTCCATGGCCGCTTACAGCACATTTGATCAGTTGGTTGCTCTGCCAAGTTGTGTACGATGTGTAGTATCGCATGACGCTTCACGAAACACAAGCTCGTGTGTTTCCGGAGGCCAATACTGATCATGCTTGCAACTGCCCGGGTGACCTGCAGACCACCTAGAGCCTGGCAGCTAGTTACCCACAATGGTTACACGTAACATCAGCGAAAGCAAAGACTGCCTTTTTCTAGTATGAGAACCCCAGTAAACGAAAAAAAAGCTAATATTCACATTACTAGCTGAATAGTGAGTTGCATATGTGTGTATATATACGTATATATATATATGTGGCACCCTATACATATATATATATATATATATATATATATATGTATATAGAGACATTATGCATTGTACAGATTCAATCTTATGATTGAGATAATGCACTGAAGTACCTGTTCATGCCGGGAGTATCACATGGTGGTACGTGGAAGGTTTTGTACTCTCTGTTGTGCACACCCGCACTCAGAGAGATGTACGATGCAATACAAGTTAAGCAGGTTTTTTGTATCAGATAGACTCGTAAAAGGTGGCAAAGTATGGCATGGTTTGTGCGAAGATGGCATCTGACTAGCGGCTAGTACCTCGCCTTGCTTGACTTCGTTTCAGGCGGCCGTGCGTGATGCACAGAAACAGCGACGGCAGGACGAAGAGGAAGAGCGCCGGCGCGAGGCAAGCCCGTGCACCAAGATTGCAATTCCAGCCGAAAGTAGAGTGGCGGAGTGGTGTTGGAACCAGCTCAGCGTTGGAGCCAACTCAGTCTCAGCATTGAGTCCAGGCCGAGCGCCGCCTGGAGCGGCGACGGTTGGAGCTGAAGATTCGCCAGCTCCCGAGGGCGCTTAGGGCGCTTTCTGCAGCTCCGCCTCCAACGCACAACTCCAGGCAAACTTAAAGAGGAGCAAGAGGCGCAGGAGTGCTGGGTGCTGGTGAGAGCCAATCAGTCGCATGTCCATCGACAACACTAGCTTCAGAGAAGCGAAGCGTCTAGTTTCCTCCCTAATCATGCCTTAGCCTCAAGTCCTGAGTGCTTTTCCTGTCCTCGAAGGAGCAAGCTCGGCAGAAGGAAAAAGAGGTGCAGCGGCAGCTCGAAGAGCAGGAGGCGGGGTACATGCTGCGCTCCGCTCGCGCTCTCTGTCGCAGCTCAGGCAAGTGAGCGCTCTGCTCTCAGAGGTAGCGAGCCCAGCGAGACAGGACCGCTCTGAGACTGGAGCTGAGTGGTGCGGCTAAGACTTGATGCCGTTGCAGGAAGGGAGGAAGCTCAGAAGGACCCGAACCCAGCGCAGCTGAGGGTCGAAGGCAAGACCGTCCGAAGCTCTGCCTGAGGAACTTCGGCGCCAACGCCGCGCACAGCGCGACGCCGAGGAGGCTGGAACAGATGGGGAGAATGGGTCTTCAAGATCATATAGATTTGTCTGATTGAGATTTTAGGACCTGGAGCGCTGCTGCGACGAACGCCACAAATTCGAACGCGGTGTACCATAGTCATGGGCTACAAAGTCATTTCAATAGCGCAAACCCCGCCCTGGAGGATGCCAAGCTCCGCGAGGCGCGGCGGCGCCGCCGCGCCGAGGAGGCGGGGTCGGGCTTGGGAGGGTTTGGACCGTGAGAAGATACGACTCTAGGCTTGTGGAGGGCTATCGGGCTTAGGGTTCGCGAGGGGTGAGTTTCATGCATGGTGGGGATCGTAGCCGTCAGACGCTGTAGACAGAGGCGAACAGGCATTTCAATTGACAGCCTTAGGTCAGGTAGCTTGTGTCACCTGCTCTTTGGTTTGGTGACTGAAAGCGAGATGTGCCTGTGCACAACATAGCATGGCATTCGCTGCAAGACGTCTCATCCCTATCATCCCCCGTGTTGTTGTACGAAGCATTACTCAGCCTCCTTCCATTGATTGTCCTAACGTGTTGCCTGGACTTTCTGCTGGAGGCCGGTTTATGGCATCTGGATGGCATCATCCTTGTCAATCCTTGACTCGCTAGAGTGCGTAGAGTCTTGGAGTGCTTCCCGCAATGCAGAACAGACGTTTACTAAAGAAGCCCGCTTTTGTTGAGGAGGCAGCCAAGAAGGAGCATGAGGAGGCCCAGCGAGCGGTTGAGGAGGACAAGAGGAAGTGCCTCGGCGCAGGGACACGAAGCGTCGGCGGCTTGCGGTTTTGGGGATCCTGTCGCCACGGCCAGGATTGGAGCAGATGCCTTGTGTCAGTGTCAGGAAGGAGAAAGAGCGCAAAGACCGTGAGAAGCGCGAGCGCAAGGAGAGGGAGAAGGCCCTGCTATGCCATGCTGCATTCCAGGGTAACATGCGTTGGCAGCCATGCTCCTACGCAGTTTGGCAGCTGTGTTGCAGAGGTAAGGCACCCTCGCTCCAACCCAGCAGTTTTGTTCATGTGAGGCACTTGTAAGCTTGCTGCTGTTTGTTCACAGTACACTGCCCAGAGCGCTGCGAAGCATTGCATAGGAAGCGATGATGCCCGAATCGCACCTCGACTCCCCCACAGAAGAGCTTGCTGTAGCATGAGTGAACGGTTTCTTGCGCCGCAAGACCACATCATGCACAAGTAGGTCTGCTAGCGTTGGGCTGGATGTTGGAGGCCGAGGCAGCAGCACAGGCTCAGCGACGACAAGAGGCGGGCATGCAGCTCACCCACTCGCCTTGAGCTTCATGTGCTCGAGATGTGCCGGCGGCAGGAAGAAGCGAAGCGCGCAGCTGACGAGAGACGGCGCCAGGAAGAAGCTGCACGTCGCGCCCCGGCTGGTATGTTGAGTTTAGAGCTGGTGGCAGGACTGGTTGAGAATATTTACTAGGTTCGGGGGCGGGTTTTCGACCCTTGGGCTTCAGTCAGATGTTCTGCCGCTTCAGTTTCGTTTGCCAAGGTCTGGGTTGTTAGATCCTGTCGACACGGGACATAGATCTCCGGCTCGGGCTGCACGCCGATGCAAGTCGAAGGCTTCGAAGATCCAAGCTCGGTGTCTTGATTTCGCCTTTAAGAGATGCGTAGTTCGTAGGTGGAAGGCAGGAGCTGGATCTTCGCGGAGATGAGAAAGTTCTGGGTTGCAGGCATTGTGCAGCATTGTGCTCAATGTTGCTCGCTCAGGGCTCAGTGCTTACCCGGCAGCCCACGTATGGACGATATGCTTTGCCGGCTGACATCGTCGGAGGAGGAGGATCAGGAATCTTAAAGGGCAGAGGAACTGTTCCTGCAGCACCTACACCATCCGAACATCGTGAAAGTCCGGTGCCTCCTGACGTAGGAAGGCCTTCAAAAGGCTTCGCTATGGAGTGGGTGGGCGGCAGACTGGAAGCTGACCTCAAGTGGCCGACTGACTCTTCAGCACCTGTCGCCTCCAACTTGCCTTGCAGTAACGCACCTTCGCAATTTCCTCGTTGCGGATCCTGACATAAGGCCGCCAGCATCCGCTTCGCAAGATGGTGAAGCTCGTAGATTTTGATGCGGCTAAGGGACGCGGTGTGGTGTCCTGAGCGAGAAGTCAATATCCCCTCGAAAGTCCCTCGAAGCGATGAAAGAAAGACTGCTTCATGGCCGTTTTGGCGTGCAGCGAAATGCCCACACGGAGCGACCCGGTCGCCGCTGGGAGGCGCAGGGTCGTGGCAGATCATAAACGAGGTGATCGATGAGATGATGCAACCCATTGCAGACTCAGAAATCAACCAGCGCTTGGCCCGGGCATTTTTGCCAATTCTACGCAAGGACTGCCCGTCAGAATCCCTATGAATCCCTTGCGTTTACTCAAAACGCGCCGATGGACAGTTTGCTTGAACCTCACCAAATCGCTCATGGAGTATGGCTTGTACACGTATCATCGTTTATTTAAACAAACAGAAAATGAAGAAATAACGAAATAGCATCGAAAGCATTGGTGAAGGTATGATTGGGGGTAGGGTGATCCTTCTGAAGGTGTGTGTGGTTAAAGCCTTACTTCACACGCCGTGTTTGTTCTTCTCTCTCAGTGTTTGGGTTTGTGTGTTTCCAATGAAAGTGAGACTGGGTACACAACATCCTGATCCACGCATGATGGTCCTTGGAAAGATCTGTGCCAGCGGCAGTTTGTCAAGTGTGCTGTCCACAGAAATGTCGACGTACCCAGGAGAAGCCGAGGAGGCAGCTGCACGTCAGAAAGAAACCGCAGAGGAGACGGGACCGATCGGGACCGGAACCGGGGCCGACAGATCCATGTTTGGTCTTCTTCCGCATTCTCCGCGCAGGAGGCTCTTCGCCGTCAAGAGGCCGGGGTCAGGGCTATCAGACCGTCACGTGCCTGCAACTTTCGCCTCCGGCATCTCTTCCTCTTCTGGTGCCTTCCCAGATGGAGAACGAAGAGCGGAGGCGGCGAGCAGAGCAAAGGAGGCGCCGGGGACAAAGTCGGTTGAACCGTGACTTGTCGCATCTTGTAGCCTTGTAGCAGCTAGCATGCTAGCAGGACACTTCCGTGCAGGAACATGCAAGTGCTGTTCTTTCTGCTGCTGCCGAGCTCTGCGTTGCAGGAAAGAGATCAAGGAGAAAGCAGCACTTCCGCCGCACCAATGTGGGAGTCGTCGATCGCCTTCTAGCAGCGCATGCAACCAGAGTCAAGGAACGGGCCAAGAAGGCAGCAGCTGCCGGGCTGCCCCCCTCCGCAGCGGCGGCGCTTGCGGCAGAGGCCGTCCACCCCGTGTGGACAAAATCACGCATGTCCGCGTTTTGGCCCTCGTCATAGCCTGTAGCCTACGGCTTCAAAATGCCGGAGGCGGTCGCCAGGGAGGCAAAGCCCCCCACGTCGCACGTCACGGTGGCCGTGCTTGGCCACCAGGGTGCCTGGGAAGCGGGTCAGTTGTGTATGCATTGTCTGGCTGCTCTTCAGGTACTTGTAAGAGCCCGCTTTATGTGCGACACCTCTGAGAGACCCGTGCCCGTGACAGTCCCGCAGGTGCCGGGAAGTCTATGCTGGTGGGTGCCCTTCTCCTTGCCACGGGTGGGATTAGCGAGCGTGACCTCGCAAAGCGCCGGAAGGTCGGGGTGGCATTGGGCATGCGCAGCCGCCAGTCACAGCATCTGTGCGTATGACCATGATCCGCACCTAGGAGGCGGAGCGGCTCAAAGATGAGTCGCAACGTGAGGAGCGCTTTCGCTGGCGTCTGCAAACGTGTGTCGCTTGGTACCGTCCACGAAGGATGGCTTGCGCACGCCCAAGGGTGCCGAGCTGGCCTTGCTCGATGTGCCAGGAGGAGCTAGTACTTGCGCTCTTGTTTAGAGATGTTAAGCCCCATCTCGCAACAGGCCGTCGCTCTTTGCCACAGGCCGTCGCTGCATCTGCCGAGGCCATGCAACCGACATCCCAGATTCACCAACTGTAGGCTCTGTTTCGCTCCTGAAGGCAGACGTGGCCATGCTCGTGATTTCTGCAAAGGGTCGTGAGCTGGAAGCGGCTCTGAAGGAGGCTCGCTCCCGGAGAGGAGTCACAGGATGCTGTGAGCAGGGCGCGCTGATCCCCAGGCAGGAGGTGGTCCTTCAACGCTGGTGGAGCAGCTGAGGGCTGCGAGGGGCCTCGGCACTGCTGCCAAGGCCGGGACCGATTCGGCGGCTGGCAGTGGGGTTGTTTTTTGACAGTTGATACTATAGTGCAGGAGGGACGCCTGGTTGTCGCAGTAACGAAGATGGAAGAAGTCAGCTGGGCAGAGGCTGGGCGTGCCAGTGCCTGTGTACCAGCACACTTTGGCAACACAAGTCTGTTGCCATTGGGAGGATCGGTTCGACGAAGTCATTTCTACCTTGACCCCAGTTCTGACGAATGCAGGCTACGCCGTGTCAGCCACATAGGGGTTCTTGACTCTGCATGAGCAATTTCGGGACTCAGATCAATATCTTCTGACCGCGATCAAGCAAGCCCAGTGCAGGTTTCAGCCAGGCCGCGACGGTCTTCGTTCCTGTGGACGGCCTTACAAACCAAGTGGATGCCAAGAAGGCCCTTGTTTTCCTGGACAATCGTGTTGCTTTTGACTGCGTTGCTGTTGATGATGAGGAAAGCGACGGCATGAGTGGCGGTGGTTGTCTTGGTGATTTGTTTTGTTGTTGTGTAGCGCACGTGTGCGAGTAGGAACAAGCACTAGCGATCGACCGCAGCACGCCGGCTCGATCGCTTTTTCTGTTTCCCCTCGTCCTTTCGCCTCGCCGTGTTCTGGTCATGTCGACTGGTTCCGCCGCCTCGCCTTCCGCCGCCGCTGCTCGGGCGGCCACTACGGCTGCCGAGGCTGAGGTGCTCGACTGGGCGCCGCCGTTGCCTGCGGACGTCCAGTCGGGCGACGAGGAGGAAGAGATCATTACCGGCTTCATCTCGCCCGCCCCGGGCATTTCTTCCGCCTCTGGCGGCACACATGCTGCCACGCAGACTGAGGCGCATGTCTTCATTTCGACCTTTGCGGCAGGGGCGTCGGACGGTGAGCTCGCCGCAGCTGTGGGCGCCTTGTCCGCAGTCGACTTGGCTCGCCTTATGGCGGCTTGCACGGCGGCCCAGCCCACGGCTGGTCCCTCGACGCCGGCTATTTCGTCTCCGTCCTCTTCGTCCGGGATTACCCCACCGACGGGCACGACATTGCCGGCTACGCCTCCGCCCTTGACGGCCCTCTCGGCATCTTCGACCGCCCCGCCGGACGCAGGGCCCGCGGAGGCTTGGCTCGCCCCGCCTGGGGCTCAGTCGTCGGTGGTGCCCGGCCCGTCCGCCGCGGAGGCCCGGCAGTACTGGACCGACCAAGAGGCGATGCACCAGGTCGCGGAGCCGGCGACGGCAGCCAACATCGCCGTGCCGGAGGATGACGACGCCGACCTGGAGGGCGAGTCCGGGCTGGACGCCTACCTCGCCGGCCTATCGGGCGCTGTGCCCAAGGCCCCGCCAGACACGACTGTGCCTTTGCCGTTTGAGGCGTTGTGCCCTGCGGGCGCCTACGTGCGGCCCAAGCGGGGGCTGGCACCTCCGCCTCCCCCGCCGCCTTCTTCGTCGGCTACCACCTCTGCCGCGTCCGTGGGCGAGAAGACCGTGCCGGTGGTCGCCAAGCCGGTGAAGAAGCCGCCTCCGCCTGAGCTGGCCGGGCAGGCTATCGCCCCCATCGTCAAGCCCTTCGTCAAGGCGCCACCCCCCCCTCTGGTGGTGGAGCCGGCCACGGGGGCGGGAGCCCAAGGGGCAGGCACACGCCAGCCGTCGGGCATGTTTGGTTCGGCGGCGCCTTCGTCGGGGCCTCCGCCAGTGAAGAAGGCGCCAGCCCCGCCGCCGGCCGCCGCACCGGCCGCTGAGGAGCCTACGCCCGGGCGATATCTCAGGAGAACGCCCTCCGGGCGCTTGCTGGTATGGGGCCGCTGAGCTTCGACGTCACGTATGACGAGATGCTCCAGCTCCGCATCCAGCGCGAGATGCGGGAGATGACGTCGCCGCCGCCCCCGGCCAAGCCGGCTGGGCATACGGAACCGGAGGTGATCGTCCCGCAGAGTGGGCTGAGCGCGACCATCCGCCCAGCGCCTCAGCGGGCATCCAGCCGCAGGCCGCCTCATCTTCGACTACGCCGCCGACCTCGCCCTCGCCCTTTCCGCCTCCGGTGGCATCCTCGTCTGGAGCGTCCTCCGCCTGTGCGGGCGTGCCGCCCAGTGGCCGGGGCGGCTACGGGACCAAAAATCGGTCCCTGCATCGCCAGCCTGGTTCGTCAATGACTGCCAGGGAGCGGTGGGAGCGCTATCGGCAGGCCAAGCATCGCCCTGGGGCGGACTTCTTCGACTCCGAGATGCCCTTCGGCCTCGACGGGGCGGCTGCTGATACTTGGGATCGGGCGGAGTCCCTGGAGCGCAGCGTCGCCGACGGCAGCTATGTGCTCCCGCCCAACTCGACGGTGGCGGGCATCTTCCTCCGGAGCTTGCCACCGAACGTCCAGGGCGGCAAGCTGCCCCGTGAGCCGCCGTCCGATGGCACCTACTTTATAGGGTGGTGCTTCGCCAAATGCCCTGGCCCATGGTGGCGGCCGGCATCGGCCTGTCGGTGCCCCTACGCCGGGCGCTGCCTCCGCCCTATTAGCTACCCGCCGGTGACGGGGCGGGTGCATTCATCAATGCGCCAGGTGCGCCCCGGACTCTCCGGGCGAGCGGGACCGCTGACTTCGTCACGGCGGGGCTCTCTTTTCTTCGGGCGCGGCTACATCGACCTCGCCGGCATCTACATCTTTGCCGTCGCGGCCGTCTCACTCTTTGGGGGCGTCCGCCCGTTTTGCATCTCACCGCCTTCGCGGGCGCGGTCAAAAGTTCGGCCTGTGCTTTTGTGCTCTCCCCTCCCCCTCCCTTCCCTTAAGCTTGGCTCGACTGCTCAAGCCCCTCGCAGGGCCTGGCTCGAGGTTACTTTGGCTCAGTTGTCTAAGGTGAGACTCGACATGGCGGAACCGCCTCGGGGCTCGTTCGCCGAGCTGGTCGCCCTGGCGCAACGGGCGGGCCAGACCGACCACTTGCCGGCTGTGCGGGCGGCGGGTGTGAGGTGCATCCCCGACCTTTTCTCTCGCATCGACGCCTTGGCAGCCGCGGGCGTCCCGCCGGCGGCCATTGAGGCGCTGCTGGCCGCCCCGCCGCCGCCAGCTGTGGTCACCGACTTGGCCCTGGTGTCGTCGGCCCAGGATCCGGGAAGGCCTGACGTCCCTCGCCGGAGGGTGCCCTTGCGGGCGAACCTGCGGGCGGCCCTGGATGCCCTGCTGCCGGCGAACCGCAAGCGTTCCGTCGAGGAGCTTCGCGACGGCTACCTGGCAGAGACCTCGAAAGGGCCCTACGCGTCCCGGCTTAAAACGTGGATGGCCCTGTCATACCAGGGCAAGGTCGATCCTTGGCCGGTGTCCGCCGACACCATTGAGGCCCTGGGGGCGGCCTTCAAGAAAGGGGGCTACCGCAGTGCCAAGGAGTACTTCTTGGCCGCCTTCCGCCACCAGGAGCACGACCTTGGGCTGGAGGTCTCACCCGTCCTACGCCGCTTGGCCAATAGGGCGGTGAAGTCCATCGTGCGCGGCCTCCCGGGGACTCGTCTCAAGGAGGCCTTCCCCCTCGCCGACCTGGGCGCCCTCGTGACCTATCGGTGCGACCTCGCCTTCGACCCGGCCGCCGTCCCCCACGCCACCGACGTCCTGGTCTTGGCCACTTGGTTCATGCTCCGGGAGATCGAAATCGCCGGGGCACTCGTCGGCGATGTGGTGCTCACCAAGCACGTGGTGACGCTGGAGCTACCGCTCCACAAGACCGCCCAGGGCGGCGAGCGGGTCATGACTCGGCGCTCGTTGCGCTGCGCCTGCGGCGTGGCCACGCACCCCCTGTGTCCGGTCCACGCCATGTTCCGACACTTCGCGCGCCTCCAGAAGGCTGGGCGCCTTCGCTCGTCGGCGCCTCTCTTCCCGGGCGCCTCGGGAGGCACCAGGTCCAAGCCGGAGTCCCTCTCGTTCCTCGCCTTGGTGTTGGGGGCGGCCGGCCTCGAGGTTAGCTGGAAGGACCCGGCTGGGGTACAACGGCCGGTCTTCGGCGGCCACGCCTGCCGCGTCGCCGGGGCGACCTTCCTGGCCGCCCGGGGCGTGCCTCTGGCGGTGATCCAGCTTCTGGGGCGATGGTCGTCCCGCGCGATCGAAAGGTACACCCAGGCTGCGCCGTTGACATTGGCGCCTTCCGCCCCGTCGTGGGCGCTTTCTTCCCAGCCCGGGCAGTTGGCCCCGGGCCAGGTAGTATCGGCGGCACTGCCGGGGCAGGGGGCCCCCGGTCAGGCCGACCTTCCCGCTGGCCGACGCCCAGCAGGAGGCAGACGGCGCGGACACGGCGGACCCCGCGGCAGGGGAGCCAGCCCAGCAGGCGGCCTTGCCCGCCATCCAGTTCGTTCCCGCCCTTGCGCCGGGGGCGGCGGTCCCGGATGCCGACCGGGAAGACGCCCACCTGATTTACCTGGAGAAGACGAAGAGGGTCCATCGGCCCGACCCCACGGAGCAGAACTCCGGCCGCCCCGCCGGGGGCTAGGCTGTGCAAGCGTTGCTTCCCGTCGGGTTCAGCAGGTGACCCAGGGGTTCAGCACGTCGACTCGGACTCCTCCTCGGAGGCGGTGGGCGAGCTCTCGTCCTCTGCGGGCGGCTCCACCTCCGAGTCCGACTGAAAAAGAGAAGGGTCAGGGTGGCGTCGGCACCGTGGGAGTCAGCAGGCGCGGTTGGCTTGAGCTGCTCAATCGCCGCCGCCCCCTGCCGCCACTCGCTAGGTCGTCACGCCATGGCGGTCCCTCCTTTGCTGCTGGCCCAGCTTGTTCAGGTGCACGCGTTCTTCGTCGACGCCAACGCCTTCGCGGGCGATATCTCCAACGCCGACTGGGGACACGGGCGCACAGCTTGGGAGCACTTGCTCGCCGTGGCTCGCCCATCCCGGACCCTCCGGTGGTATCTACGGGCCCGCCGGATCACGGGCGTGCCTGAACTCGGCTGTTCCGCCCCTAATCTGGGCGTGTGGAGGCGCGAGTTCGTCGACCCCTACCTGGAGGGCTGGCGCCGCCCTCACTCGGCGGACGTCATCCGGTGCTCGCCGACCGACGTGCCGGGCGACACCCAGGCTTTGCATCTGATGTTCCGCCTGGCTCGTCGCCACGCCGACTGGCTGCAAGAAGATACCGCCCGCCGGGCGGGTTCCATCGACGACCGCTTCGGCATGGACCCGCCGCTGGTGATCTTCTGCCCAGCCTGGGCGCCGCGCCCGGCGGACACGGGCGACTCGGATGAGGCGCCTGAGGACGGGCCTCCGGACTATTTGGGCCCACGTCCGGGCGACCTTGAGGGCCTTGACCCGCGCTTGGTCCGCCCATGGACTTTGGCGCCACGGCAGCCCCTCGTCCCTTCGGGGCGATCCGCCCCTGGCACCTGGGCGCGACAGCCGTGGTACTTGGTGCGGATGGGGCCTTGGCATCGACAGGTGCACCGCCTCGACGTCCCCGGCCGTCGCCCTAGGGCGGTCTGCGGCCGCACCATTGAGCCGGAGAGGGCGGCTGTTCTTGTTTGGGCCCCGCCTCGGGCAGAGCCCGGAGGGAATCGGTACCTCTGGTGCCGCCTATGCTGGGGCGACGGCGTCCCGCTCTCAAGGAGCGATTGTGAGCAGCACCCGGACGAAGAGTCCGAGCTCGAGTGACCCCGCCAAGGATTGGCGGGCGCCCACGTCGGGCGTTGAAAAGTCGAGACCGGACCGCAGTGCACTCTTCTAGGGATCGTCGACTCCTGCTTGTGATTCCCCCCCCCCTAGCCTCCTTTGCTGCCTCAAGATCGCTGCCCCTCGCCTCGCCAATCATGGCGTCACCTACGGCGTCTTCGGCTTTGGTTGACTTCGGCCAGCTCGCCACCGAGGCGGGGGCGGGCGACTTCCTCCGCCGCTACCTGGCGGCTCGTGGTGCAGATCGCACGGCCACCTTGGCACTCATGGCGCCCACGGCGGAGCGCTTCGCCGAGATCATCATCGACCCGCTTGGGCCCGGCTTCGTCGCGACCGGGGGGGATGAGTTCAAGCTGACCCCGGCAGAGCTGCCCACCGCCAGGGCAGTCCTCACCCACATGTGGGAAGAGGCCAGGGCACAGTGGAACGCCTGGGCTGCGGCTCGCGCGGCCGCGCTTGCACCGACTGCCGCCCCGGGCCCGTTGGCTCCGGCTTCTGCGGCGGGCGGCCCGCTCCCTTTCCCGCCGACGGCGCCGGCTGGGCCGCCTAAGCACTTCGCCGAGTGGGGCACCCTGGTTAAGGCCTACAACGACCGCCTCGTGGACGGGCGACCGAGGGCCTTTCCTACCCGCCGCCTGGCTGGGGCGGAGGAGGTGCTCGCCAGGATCCACTGGGAGCACACCGTCAGCTTTGCATACTCGCCGTTGGGGTTCGGCGAGATCCTATCTCAGAGGACGTGGACCGCCGCCAACGAGCTGAACCCCCTCGCCGCCGGGCGTCGCGATTCGGCTGCTTCCGCTGCCCTCCACCTCGTGGGCGGCAGCCTGGTGGCTGAAGAGAAACGCCCGTGGCAGCCCAAGTCCGTCATCGCCATTTGCGACGGGCTAGAGGCCATCAAGTGGGCCTGGATACTCGTCCAACTGGGCGCCGAAGAGGACATTGAGTCTTATATCGCCTGGTGGGATTGCCGGGCGAGAGGCAGAAATGCTAACTTGCTCGCCCTGGTGTCCTATTGGGACTCCATGGCGATGCGCCTCGCCATGGATCTCCGCCAAAGGAGGACTTTCAAAGACGCCACCGCCGACATCATGGCGGACGTCTCCTCCTATGTCGAGGCCGTGACCGCCGCGCCGCCCCGCCCCGATGGGCGGACCAAGGGCAGGCCGCAGCCTACCCAGACTAGCCCTGATGCCGACGACTCTTGGGTGGAGCCGCCCCCCAAGCGCCCCCGCCCGGGCCGCAAGGGCAAGAAGGGGGCCAAGGGCGGCAAGAAAGGCGCCAAGGGCGGCCGCCAGCAGGAACACAAGGGCGGCAAAGGGACCAAGCAGGGGCAATGGTCCACAGCTGACGCCTGGCAGGAGACGCCCTCCGGCCACTCGGGCTCGGACGGCTGGGCATCCCATTCGTGGTCCGCCTCGTCCTGGGAGCAGCCCGAATCGACGAAGGGCCAACAGCAGCAGGCTTGGCGTTGGGCCGCCCCCCAGGGCGGAAAGAAATGGCGCTAGGGACAACACGGGGCCGCGTCAACTGGGGGCTATGACGCGGCACCCGACCCTAGCCCCGCAAAGCGGGTCCGCCTCACGCCGGGTAAGCCCCAGGGCGGTCGGATCATCGTCCTATCCGCCTTCGATGGCATTGGGGCAGCGCCTTGGCTGGTGTCGTCCTCCTTCGGGCGACCACTGCTGGCCGTTTCTTGGGAGATCGATCGGGCGTGTTGCTCGGTCGCCTCCGCCGCCATGCCCTGGCTTCTGCACCGGGGCAGCCTCCTGGACGACTCCCCGAAGGAGGTGGCGAAGCTGATCAGGGAGGCCGATCCCAACGGCGAGGCCATGATCCTTTGGGTGGCCGCCCCCCCTGTCAGGATTTCTCTCGCGTCGGTGCCCGGGCCGGGCACGAAGGCGATAGGGGGCGCCTTTTCCAGGATGCCATCGTCTTCATGGATGAGCTTCGCGCCCTCCTCGCCGGGCGCCGCTTCTCCTTGCTGTTCGAGAACGTCGTCATGTCAGTGCCGGACGCGGCGGTGATTTCCGACGCCCTCGGTGTGGAGCCGGTCTTCGTCTGCTCGTCCGACTTCGGCTGGGTGTCCAGGCCCCGCCTGTGGTGGCTCAGTGTCGACTGGGCGCTCGTCCCTAAGGACCCCGTGGCGGACTCGCCCCTGGAGTGGACCAGCCAGGGCCGCTGGTCTCGGTTGCGCCTCGCGGGAACCCGGGCGGCCGCGGACTCCTTCGACCTGGGCGGCCTCACCTTCGACCCCGCCGTGGCTCGGGGGCAGGTGCTCGTCCCCTGCGCCACAACGCCAGCCCCGACGGAGCCAAGCCTTTATCGGCTCGGGGACGCACGCCCAAGGACGCCGAGGACCGATGGCTCGCCGGGCACAGGCAGTTCGCCCCCTGGCACTACCATCGCCAAGCCATGCTCCAGGACGCCCAGGGCGTCCTTCACCTCCCGACGCCGGAGATCAAGGAGCAGCTTCACGACGTCCCCAAGGGCTACACCGCCAAGGGGGGGGCGGACGCCAAGGCCAGGCATCGCATGCTTGGCAACGGCTGGCACTGGGGCGTCGCCGGTCGCCTTCTCGCCATCGTCATCTGGGCTTCCTGGCAGCAGCCAGCTCGTGGCGAGCCTTGGGTTCCCAGGACGCCGGGGGGGTCGACTATACAGTGGCTTCTGGACCATTGGTGCGCCCACGGCTGGGACTTCGCCCCGCCTCCTCGGCCCGATCCTCCCTTTCTGGGCGACGGCCTATCTGAGGAGGAGCACTGGGCGGCGGCGCCTCACTTTCGACACTCTCTGACTTCACCGCCGACCCTCGAGCCGGCCCTGGAGGGAGTGCTCCAATTCCGCGCCCACTGGCGCCACGACATGGTGCGCATTCGCCATCTGGTGGTCCAGGAGTTGGAGGTCATGGTGCACGACGCCCAGGAATCCACGGCATCCTGGCTCGCGGCTCGGCCCCACCACGTCCGGGCGACCTATTGCACAGAGGACCGCCCTCGCCCTTTTCAGGGCCCCGTCCTCCTGGATCTACTCCAGAGGGCGAACTACCCTGCGGTCCAAGACCTGAGGGCCGACCTCGAGGACGGCTTCGACATGCTGGGTGAGGTCCGTCGGGCGCCGGGCTGGAAGAGCAGGGAGGACGGGCGGTACTCCAACCCCGCTCCCATGGATCGCCTTCGCCGGGAAAACCCATCCTATGTGGCAGCCAAGACGCGCCGACCACAGGACTCGGAGCACACCCGGGCCCTCAGGGATGAGCTCGTCAAGGAGGCTCAGCTGGGGCGCGTCATGGGCCCGTGTCGAGCGCCGGATGGATGGGGCGTTACCATGGCGTCCTTGCCGGAGGTGGCCGGTATGGATCGCCTACTCGAACCGCCGCGGGGCGACTGCTTCGCCGCGCTCTCCTTCGCCATCACCCAGCTCGACGAGAACGGGGACCTCAAGCTGCGTCGAGGCGAAGACTGGCGACGGTCCGGACACAACGCCACCATGCGGGCGCACGACGTCCCGACGCACCACTTCCTCGGGGACATCGTGGACATCATCCGCCGGGCGATGGCTTCGGGATGGGACCCGGTGCTCTTCGGGCACGACCTGCAGAACGCCTACCGCCAGTGGGCGGTCAAGTTCCCGGGTCACTGCGGGACGTTCCTCCCGACAGCCGCCGGAACCACCCTTTGGTTCCATTTCGCTATGTGTTTCGGCGCGGCGGCGAGCGTCTGGAATTTCAACAGGGCGGCTGACGCCGTCCAGATGCTGGCCCGGGCATTGCTCGCGGTCCTCTTCGGCCATTTCGTCGACGACTTTAACGGCGTCGAGGACAAGGCGGAGGCCGACTCCGCCCACTTCGCCCTGGCCGACTTCTTCGCCCTTCTGGGTCTCCAGACCAAGCCGTCCAAGGCCCAACCGCCAGCCCAGGAGCATGTTGTCCAGGGCGTCTCTGTGCGGGTGGCCGACGCAGGCGTCGAGCTGCGGCCCACCGCCGACCGCACACAGAGGATCCTCAAGCAGATCGACAACGCCCTGGAGACGGGGGCCATGAAACCAGACGTGGCGTCCAGGCTGGCCGGGCGACTCACCTTTTTCAGCCAGTCGGTTTTCGGCTGCACCGGCCGGGCGGCCATCAAGCCGCTCTACGCCAGGGCGGCCGACACGGCGGCCCACTCCGACGACGCCCTCTCGGTGGGGCTCCGCTCCGCCGGCCCTCCGACGCCTGGTGGCTACGGCCAAACCGCGCCTCATACCTTGGCCGGGGGCGGTTACGGGACCAGTCCCCGTCATCTACGCGGACGCCTTCTTCCTGGAGGGCGACTTACGCAAGAAGGTGGGCCACCTCCATCCGGGGGAGCAGGTCCCTCGCTCAGCCAGATGGGAGAACGGCTGGGGCTTTGTGCTCCTCTTCGAGGGCCAGGTGTTCTACGACTTCGGCGTCCTCAAGCCCGAGTACCTCAAGCCCTTCGCGTCTCGCCGGGCTTTCATCTACGTGTTGGAGATCTTGGCGCAGGTGCTCCCCGTCATCACCTTCGCCCGGAGGCTGCCTCAACATTGGATCGCCTTCATCGACAATGTCGCGGGGCAGTTCGCCCTCATGAAAGGATATGGGCGGGACCCGGCCGTGAACGGCATCCTCGCCTCTTTCTGGGGCTTGGCGGCCGATCGGGCTTGGTGCCCCGAGTTCTACAGGGTCCCCTCCGCCGCCAATGTTTCTGACGCCGTCTCTCGGGGCGACGACTCGAGAGCGGCCCGGGAAGGCTGGTGCCGTGTTAGGGCACCGGTCGACGACGTCATGGTGATCCTCGGGCGGGCGGCCTCCGACATCGACTACGCCTGCCACGAGGCTCCTGAGAGGCTGCTAGACCTTGCTTCTTGGTAGCCAGTGCCGACGCCTTATGGGAGGTGGGTGCGCCGGGCGGTCGCAGAAGTGCGCACCCCGGCACCGGCACCGGCTTTCGGGGCGGTGTGCTCGGCCGGGCGCATGTTATGCGACTCGACCATCCAAAAGGAGCCACTGCACCCTTAGTAGGATTTTGGGCTAACTCGTTAGCGCAGCGCTTGTTGTGTAGCGCACGTGTGCGAGTAGGAACAAGCACTAGCGATCGACCGCAGCACGCCGGCTCGATCGCTTTTTCTGTTCCCGCCCACTCCATCCCTTTTGCTTTTCCTGACTTACATACGGCCGTCACCCGCCCCACCGGGCGGTTGTCCGGGGCGGTCGCAGAAGTGCGCACCCCGGCACCGGCACCGGCTTTCGGGGCGGTGTGCTCGGCCGGGCGCATGTTATGCGACTCGACCATCCAAAAGGAGCCACTGCACCCTTAGTAGGATTTTGGGCTAACTGGTTAGCGCAGCGCTTGTTGTTGTTGTTGTGGTGGTGGTGGTGGTGTTGGTGGCAGTGGTGTTGGTTGTTGTGGTTGTGGTTGCGCTTGTGCTTGTGGTTGTGGTTGCTTGCATTCTTGTTTTTTGTTTGTTTGTTTTGTTTGGTTTTGTTATATATATATATATGTGTTTGTTTTGTTTTGCGTTGTTTCGTTTTGTGTTTGTTTGTTGTCGTTGTGGTCGTCGTCTTCTTTGTTTTTTTCAGGATGTGCATGCTGATGGTTGTGGTGACGGTGATGATAATCCAGATGCCGAGGTCGACAGCATCGAGTCCACCCTAGAACAGACCCGCAGAAAGGTTGTCGTTAGACATTGGACGGGAGCTTCCCCACCCAGTGTGTAGAATGTCGGACTTTGACGCAGCTATTCTCCTCTCCTCGCCCTCATCCTTGCAATCCCCGACCAAGGATGCTGCAGTGTTGCATCCGACAAAGCTGTCCTGTAGAGTCCCCCACCACTCTCTTTCTTGTGGACTGTTGATTGTCGAAGCAAATGATTTGCTACTTGTGCTTGGGTTGCGGTAATGGACAAGGTGGCGGTTTGCACTGTCGTTGTTGTTGTTGTTGTTGTTGTTGTTGCAATGTCTGTCTGGGGGCCGTCCGTCTCAGGCGTGACATGATGCCAGAAGGTTTGTGCTCTTATCGCTACATCGCTTCTTGTGGCTGCTCGTACTGTAGGCTCCTTGGCACACCGGCTCTTCTCTCCTCCAATGCCTCGATGACATGGCCAGCAGCTGTGCGCCGCGGCATCTGAGCAGCAAATCGTCTCGCGAGTCGTCTCTGTGAACTTCTGCATCCTGTGCCTGTTCTATAACGGCTGCCCAGGCCTGGAGCCCTGCAGGTCCTCGTCTTCGAGTCTTCGCCTGCGGCGAAGGGCGCCTTGCGCGTGCGCGGCCGCGTGGAGCAAGGCGGGGGGGCGAGTGCCTGAGCGGAGCGGCTCCCTCCGCGGAAGCGGCGGGCCGTCGTCTCTGTCTCTCAGGCACCCTGCGGCCGGGAGAGCGCTGTCTCTTAACACCCGGCTCTGCTCCTTGCGTTGTGGAGGCTGACCCACACAGACGGTTCTGGGATGTTCTGGGCTGAGCTTGGCAGGTCCTCCGCATGGCCGCCTCCCGCAATGTGGTCCCTCTGGAGGAGGTAGGCGCACATGTGCTCCGGCACACGACGGCCTACGCGTGCCAGCAGATATCTTCATGCACAGATATTGCAACCGTGAGGCGAAGAGCGGGCAGAATGTGGAGCTGCAGCTTTCTGGTGGACCTTTCCCAGATTGGCCGGCAGTGGGAGGCGACATCTAAGCACAAAGAGCTGAAGGTTTTTTTCAGGAGCGTTTCCGCCTCTGGCCAGGGCACGTCGCGTGAACAGAGAGCTTTGGGTCTTCAGCCGTGAATGTACTAACCTTTTCATTTTTGAGGCGGAAACGTTACGGCCTGTGTTGGTGGGGTCCTTGTTTCGCCAGTTTCAGAAGCCACGAGGTATGTTAGCAAACACTACTGGCGGATCGGTTCCATGATATGCCTGGACTAGCTGAAGGCGCGTCGACCGTTGGCTGGTGTGGCTCTGTCCTTGGCTCTGCACAGTCGCCTGTGGAGGCCAGGTTGCAGGGGTGCAAGCCGCTGCTAGCCTCAAGAACCGGAACTCGAAACGCAGCAACTGAGCAACGACCAAGTGCAGGTTTCGGATTCGGTGAAGGCCTACTTGGAAGTGCTAGAGTTGCCACGGCCCATGACAGCCGGCTTCAAGGCCGTCTTGCATGTCCAAACCTCAGCCTGGTTGAGTTGAGCCCGGCTGGTGAAGCAAAAGGAGTAGGCGCAAAGCTGTCTGGAGATTGCCATAGTGCGAGCACTGGTAGCGCCGAAACCAGACATGAAGTGTCTTTGAGGTGCATGCTGCAACGGTGGACGCGGAGATCGATCAGATTCTGGACGGCTGATGTTTAGCAGGGCCATGCTTGGCCACCGTAAAGTTCAAGGATGTGGAAAGCATGCGGCTAATAAGCGTTACGGGCAGATGCTTCGCAGGACGCCACAGACTGGGCGACCGGAGTGACCACGGAAAGGCCAAAGATTGTCAAGGCCCCGCGCTGTGTGATGAAATGGCCCACAGCCTGTGCAAAGATGGAATGGGGGCTTGGGTATGTGTTTTTTTGCTGCAGGCCGGGCAGCGGCTGACGGTGTTGCTGAAGTTCTCTCGACAGGCCCACGAGGTTTAAGAGTAAAAGGCTGCCATGGATCTTGGAAGGATGGAACGGAGCTTGCTATTCAATTGACTGTACTGTAGCTTTAGCCCCTGTATATCTTTGCAGAATCTATAAGTGTGACTGCGCGAGGTGCCTGTTTGCAGTGTCTCCGACGCTCAAAGCAGCCGCTCCTTGTACGAAAGCTCACTTAGGAAAGTGCTCTGCGCATGAGCCGTTCGTGTCCCAGGCTTGGGCCTTCTCATGCTGCGCCTCGAGGAGACGACAGTGGCAGTAGGCCACGTTCTCGAGGCGACTTAGCAGGGCTTGGCGAGCGCTTTTCTTCGTTTCTTCTGAGCTTCCGCGCACAGGTGAGATGACCTCGCTACTTTTACCTTCCCCGAACGTGGTGTGGCATTGCTCATGTTCTGGCACCGCAAAGTGCGACAGACACAAACGGTTGGTCAGACCATATCGTCATGTTTCTGCAGCATCTTATCGAGGTGTGGACCGTGTTGATGCTTTTTGCAGAGGGTGTGCCAGAGCTGCCGCCTCTGCCGGACGAGCCATGGCGACCCATACCATGCACCTGCATCTGTTTTTGCTGGGCAGCTGTTAAAGCTTCAGGCGCTTGCCACGCTCTATGCGACCGGGTGCAAAGACTGCTCCTAGGTGTTCGCAAGTCCCAAACTCCGATGAGGTTTGGCAGTAGCTTCCTCCCCAACGGAAAGACATATTTGATCTGAGGTATTTATAGCTAGGGCTCTAGCTCGTCTTCTTGATGTTGACGTTAATCCTGGGGAGAGTCCCGAATGCCACACATGATTCTTTTGAGTGGCACGGGCATGTCGATTTTGAATGCACTTCGAATGCTTGCAGTAGCAGTGCAAGCAATGTCAGCAGTCGAGAGAGCAGTGTAGAAGCTGCAATCGACGAGTTTGCCTTTGGAGGTGTCCTAGAAGGACTGGTGTAGTTGGAGTGAACGTCGAAATCCAACGTTGGAGAGGCTCGCTGTGCCGTGACAGTGTGGGTCCTGGGCTCCTCGTTGTCCTCCACTTTGCATGCATAGCCCGTCGAGAGCGAACTAGTATCAGAAGCCGGCTATGCGGTGCGTCACCGTCCATTGCTGCCGCTGCTGCCACTACTGCTACACGTGGTAGTAGTAGTAGTAGTAGTAGCAGCAGTAGTAGTAGTAGTAGTTGTAGTAGTAGTCGTAGTAGTAGTAGTAGTAGTAGCTGCAGCCGTCGTAGTTCTAGTGGTACTGGTAGTGGTAGTGGTAGGAGCAGTAGTAGTAGCAGCAGCTGTAGCCGCGCCAGGACGCCTTCGTTCGGACGTTTGCGCCAAGAGAGAGAGAGAGAGAGAGAGAGAGAGACACAGAGTACTAGGTCCCGAGGCCCATACAACACCCTGTTATATCGCTGTTGGCTATGCTGGTACAGCTAGGAACCGGGGCATCGAGACCATAGTAAGGAGCCCCAAGTCATGTGTTTGTATCGTATTGCTGTACCAAAGTGTGTTAGGGAGAAGGGGCGGAGTAGTGAGTCAAGCGAGGCCGTTGAGCCCAAGCAGAGTGGAGCCGGGGTTGTTTCTAGATGGCAGATCAGTTGAAGTTCTTGTGTGTATACAGGCCCGCTCGTAGCAAGCCTCCTCCACCTGCCAGCCCCACAGTGGAACGTCCACAGAGTACAGATGGCAGTTGGCGACACGTGTTCACAAATACTTGGTTCTATGTGTATGGTGGGTTCGGGGCATAATACAAAGTGTCGCCGAGGAGTGCTCGCATTTCCGCATGTAATACACATGCACACAACCAACATACGGGCGGCTCCCGCGGGGGCTCGCCCTCAGGCCCGGAGAAAGAAAGAGAGAGAGAGAGAGAGAGAGCAGCAGCAGAAGCAGAAGCAGTAGCAGCAGCAGTCGCAGTCGCAGTCAGTCGCAGTTGCACTCGCAGTAGCGCTGGCACTAGCACTAGCACTATCATTAGCAATACTGTAGCAGTAGCAGTGGCAGTGGTAGTAGTAGCAGTAGTGGTCGTCGTCGTAGTAGTAGCAGCAGCAATAGTAGACGACGGTTATGACTTTGACTGTGACTATGCCTGTAACTGTGACTGCGACTGCGACTATGAGTACAACTATGAGTATCAGTATGAGTACGACTATTACTGTGACGACATCGACTTGTACTACCACTACGACGGCGACAACTACTACAGCTACTACAACTACTACAGCTACTACGACTACAATAACAACAACTACTGCTACTGCTACCACTGGTACTAATAGCAGTTAGTGCTACACTAACTACTACAACAATTGCTACTGCAAATAGAGCTTATTGCACGTAATCAAGCAAGCTCGTTTCCTATATTGCTGTACCATGGACGCGGCCCCTCCGACAGCACTCAGCCAGGAACGCCATGCCGGATGCCAAGAGAAGTATATGGTGTTTGCAACGAACTGGCCCCTTTCCGCTGTTGGAATCCGGCATGGGTCTTCCTGCATCTACTATTGGGCTTGTGCGCGGGCGGGCTCCTGTATTCTAGTCTGAGGATACAACACAGATCAGAATGCTCAGCCAATCCACGTGCATGCCTGCCCACGAAATCTATTCTTATTACCATACTGCAGCCGTGGGATGTGTAGGACATAGACCACTGATGGTCTTAATCTCCCGGTCCCACTCGCATCTGCTGTACTCGCAATTGGAAAACTGCCGGCATCGGAGTTTATGTTGCCCAAGTGAAAGGTTTCCGACATCTGTGATATCGCCGCTCACAGGATTGAGACTTCGGCCGCATGTGCCAACATGTACCGAGATCACCATAGTTCAGGCGGATGCAAGTGCCCAGCCTGAACTGCAGTTAGTGTAAGGGCCTAAGCCTTGTCCAGGGCACTAGAAGAGTAACACCTGAAAATCAGTGCCATGTGAACCTCACGGTCGCCTTTGCCTTGACCATGGATGAAAGATCTCGGCTAGAGCCCGGAACCCGGTTCTACCGCCCGGATCTTCCATTCTTCTCTGGGTGTCGGGGCTGATTGTTTGGGCGCCTTACCTACCGGAAGGAGGACGCCAATGCAAACTGTAATTGAGTTGGCCGCAGCATGAACAACCAGACCATCCAAATCATGTCTGCATCATCGTGGGCGGATAGGATTCGATTGTCCGACACTCTTTCGGCCTACGGTGCATACGCAGTTGCCCGCCTGGCCGGATCTATTCATTGCCTGCTTTCGGGTAGAGGCGTCATCAAGACAGCATTCATGACATGGGGGCTGGGCCTTCGTTTTTGTTCCAGTGGCTTCTCTTATGCAATCTGTTTTCCTGCTCTTCGATACGCCCCTGCTGCCAAGCCGGTGCTGTGGTTTAGATTCGATGTTTCTGTTTGAAGCCATTGACACTTCACAGAACGACGCGGAGTGTTTGCGCGGCAACCCGGCACTCCCTCTACGTTTGTTGTTCAGGGTCCTCTTGCTACTCGGACGACTTCATGACTTCACGACAGTGATTGCGCCTGGAGTCTCTCCTACTCCTATGGTCTTTGGACTACTCTACTGCGGCGAGTCTGACTGCATCTCTCGAAAACTCAGCCTGCTCGACCTCTCCAAACATGATGGATGCAGAAATGGCTGCCGTTTCCCTTTTTTGGGCGGGCAACGAAATGTTGGATTCCTTGAAGGCTCGCCTTTTCCATTGAGTGTGGCCACACTCTCTCCCCCTGAGCGCTCGAAACTGATGCAGCCCTGAATGATTTTGATTCGCATTCTTTTCCACTATTTACGTCGTCTTTTCCATTATTATTTGGGGGACATGATTTCAACGTGCGTGTGGCTGACGATTTTTTGGATTCAGCGATTGCAACAGTTCTTAGAAGTGCCTTTTGGCTTTTTCGGCTCGGATTTTGCCCTTCAGGCCACAGTAGCAGGTTTTCCAAGAAGCCATGCAATGACGCGGAAGGAGCACGTCACTGGGGCATTTAGGGTGGATTCCTGCCTTCGGCAACACCAATTCGAAAGCAGATCAATTTGTGAAAGTAGGTTTATGGCTCTTTTGGGCTTCGGATTTTGCTTGCAGGCTGCACATGCAGCCATGCAATGACCACCCGAAGGGGCACCTGGCCCGAACTGAAATATCGGCGACATCTTCAACAAAGCACCAAGACTTCGAAATCAGGTTTCGGAGCTTCTAAGGTGTTTTTTGGATTTGGGCAAGAAGCCTTGTGGGGAGGGAGTGCATGTAGTTTTTCTGGATTTGTCGGATTTCGGTTTTACAGTGATATGGCGAGGGCAGTCCTTGATTGAATTGTGGCAGGACCCCCAGCAGGGCCACACAACGACGCCGAAGGAGAACAGCTAAAACCCCAACACGTTTTGCTTGTTCTTTGGGGTTTTCTGAGACCTGTGATTTTCCTGATTTGGATTTCAGTGCGAACACTTAGGACGGGCAAAGGTAAGTTCTTGATTGAAGATTGGTTCACGACAATTTCTCGCTTCCGGATGCGGCAGTAGAAAAACAATTGCCAAAAGTAGGTGTTTTTCGAGGCCCTCCCTTCCCCACGCCGCTTCCCCTCCCCCACCTCCGTCCCCCCTCACCCAGCATCAGCCTTGAAGGCATAAGGAACATGCAGGTTCGCATGAGGAAAAGCGAGGTTCGCCGGAGGGGAGAAAGCCACATCATGAGAAAAAATACCATGCCCCGCGGCTTTGCAGGCAGCGCTTGCTGGGCCCTGCTGGGCGTCAGCATCTGAACGAGGCCCAAGAAAACATGGGAGTGACTGCAAGAAGCTATTGCGGCATCTAGTATGTGTTGTAGCTGCAGAATCGGAAGATGATTTGGCGGAGTCGTGTCTGATAGCCAGAGGAGAACTCCTGCTCGTATTGCATGCATACCACTAATGGAGCCACGGCACTGTCCACAAAGCAGCTAGTTGTCGTGGTGGGAGGTCACAGCTTTAGTCGCAGCAAGAGCAGTAGCGACAATCTAACAAGTCCTGTAGTGCCAAGAGTATGTAACAGTAGAAGTGAAAGGACATAGCATGATGCGCACACGCATTACAGCTGGAGCGGTGGTGGACGCCATGGCTCGATGATAGCCAGAGCTAGCAGTAGCAGATGAAGCATGGAGAGTAGCACCAATGCGCGACCTCGTGAAATCGGAGTTGGAAGAAATAGGGATCAGCAGGCTGGGAGTATGAATAGAAACGAGTGAGCGCAGAAAAGAACGCCGTTAGGATTAAACTGGGAGTCATCACAAGACGTTTCGCCAAGAAGGAGTGCAGCAACGGTACATACTGGCAGCCCGGTACCTGGCAATACTTCTTTTTCTAATGGGAGTATGATGCAGGTGACGAAAGTCATTCTTATCTCCTTGATGCTTCTGCTGATTCTGATGCTATACTATGCCTGCAGCTTTTAGCATGCACGGAACTAGCTGCGGTTGCTTCGATTGTGATTAGTACGACCGCTGTGATATTGCAGAGTGTGGTCCGCTGCATGACACGGGAAACTGAACAGCCGCAGTACAAGAAGCGCGACGCTGGCACAGTTGTCCAAGTGCCAAGCAGTGGGCACACAGGTCGGCATGGTCGGGCAAAGGCAGACTCAGGCAGTTAAGAGAGAGGAGATTGTGCACTTGGTATGGTTCGCTACGTTTTGGCATCCTCGTTGAAGTTGGGGTTTTGCGTGCGTGCGCATATGTGATCATGAGTGATCTGTCGGGGGGGCGGGGTGCGGCAGGGGCAAACAGTCGTGGTGCCAGCCCGGACCACGCAAGCCACACAATCCCATTGCAAGCGTAGCTGACAGTGCTGCCAGATCTCGGACCTCTTCGTGTTGTGCGAATCCGAGGATCTGCGAAGCTTGACAAGCAATGAAATGCGTTTTGAGTGGCTCTGAGCGCACCATGGCTACAAGAAGTTTTGATTGCCAACGAGGCCTCGTGGCTGCTGCACTGTCCAGTGTGTCGAAAGTTTTGGCGTAGCTTGGCTGCACCTGCTTCCTCTGCTGTTTTCGTGGCAAGCACGACCGTCCTGTCAGCTCCTGCTTGTGCGGTAAGAAGCAGGCCCGGCCTAACGCAAAAGTGTTGGCCACTACGGCCGGATGCAAGGTTTGACAGCTTCAGCTCAAGCATTGTCAGATGATTTTTTTTCCGAGGCACCACCGCAAGCTGACAGTTGAGCTGGCGGGGGAAGCAGACAGAAGATGGAGCCTCGGAGAGCACGTCCATTGTGCATCATCAGCTTAACATACAATATCTGCCAGAACATATTGCTGTGGTCTGTGGTGCACGGGTTTTTCGCTTGCATCTGAGTTTTTTGCTCTCGGCGTTTGGGGCCTGGGGCCAAGCTGCCAGGTGCTGAGCAAGAGCTCGTGAAATGGCTTCGCCAACACGGCGAGGTGCAACTGAGCGGTGAAGTTGGAAGTGGGGGTCTCTGCCCATCTCTGCCCTGAAGGAGAAAAGCTTTTTAAGAGATGACAGTGTGAGCCTGTCGCGAGTCGCCAGGCCTTGCGGTCGCTCCTGTTGCAGCTGGCCGGTTCTGGGCAGACTCGTGCTCAAGTTTGCCCATGCCTCACGCTCGAAAACGCGGAAGGAGTCGTGATGCTTTTCACTTTTCTCGGGGTTGTCTTGCAGAGACGAGCAGAGTGCAGAAGCAACAGCAGCTACCAGTAGGTCGGCCTCCTTCGATTTGGTAGAAAGGTGCGGTTCGCCTCCAAGCCTCGCTCCTGCGGGACGAGGCCCGGCCGGCGGGGGATCCTTTTGGATCCCCTTTTGAGGGTCTTGGGAGGGAGATCCGTGTCTGGGGCGCAGGCTGCCGAAGCCCCTCTAAGTCGTCGGGCAGCTGGCACACACGTTCTGAGCTTCGGCATTAGAGGATCTTCTTTAATATGTCGAAAAGCCCGAGTTTTTCTCGACATGGAGCACGCGAATTGCCAGTAACTGCTGCCCAGCAGGCTCTTGAAATCAGTCTCGCGACCAAGATGTCCGGTGCAAGCCTCAGGAGAAGGACTGTAAGAGTTCAAAGTATTGCGTACGACCCACATGAGTCAATCAAGGTGACGAGCTGGCTCGTCTGTTTGGGCATCTGCCTCAGGATTGATGCTCGCCCCTGCTTTCCGCTGGGCACTTCTGCCCATAGATGCAACCGGGGCTGCCATCAGCGCTGCGACGTGTTTCCTGCGTCAACCCGGCTTTCAGATGTAGACAGTCTGAGCTTGATGCCCGGCTGGTGATCCTCCGTCGGTCTACTAGCGAGTGCGAACATGGAGGGCACTGATTGCTGTGCGAGCTTCCAAGAGTTAGATGCAGGTCTGCTCGAAGATTGGATGAAAGATCTTCCTGTTCGATCGGTTTCTGAAAATATGATGCGCTGGCAGAGCTACTACAGCAAACTGTGTGGTGCTCTTTGCTGCTTTTCGCCAGATTGCGCCTGCATTCGCTGTTCGAGCTGCGCTCGATCCATGACAAGTCTACCTCCCAAACGACGTTTTCAATGCATGCAGTGCGAGGTGCTCCCGCCGGAGAGTGCTTTCGATGGGCGCCCAGAGTACTGCAGCGAGTGTTTCGCACGTCCAGACGTCCTGCACTGGCACGACGTGTTCTTGCTTGTCGACGAAAGAGGCAAGCACCTTGCAGTCAGGCGCATGCAGGGCCTCGCAGAACAAAGCCACTTTGGTCCGGCAGACTTTCCGGTCGCTGGAGCTTTGCCGTGCGAAGCCGTTTGCGGGATCTGCTGCTGCGAATTCACAGGGGACGACCCAGCAACCTGCGCCCCTGGCTGCATGTCAGATCATGGGGACGGAGTTGCTGACCCTCGGATGGGGGTGGTGGATTCAGGAAACTTTTACCATGCAGACTGTCGCCTAGATTGGATGAGAGCTCAAAAAACTGATACTTATGCGGGCTCAACGCCGCCCCTCTGTTGCAGAGTCTGCGCATTCGCACAGGAGTGTGCAGCGTGGGAGCGGGACTTTGGTCGCGGCATGTCTGCGATTGATGAGTTCTTTTCGAAGCCGACACCGTTGTCTTCAGATGACTGGAATGCTTTGCTGCAGTTCCTTGCCGATGAGTTCCAGCTGAGACTGACTCTCGAGCAGGACACCTGCCGTGCAGAATTGACAACGGCGTACCTCGACGCCTTGAAAAAACTGCATGGCCAGCCGTGGCTTCAGACCATCATCGACAGCCTGGACGGTGGACCAAAAATTATCCAGCAAGCGGATGGGGGCTTTTTTCAGTTTATTTGTCGGTGGGTTTCAACTGCGTTTCAGAACCTGAGGCTCGCAAGGCCTGAACTTCAGATCCAGACGCTGCTCAGTGAGCTGCTCCTGGCGCCCAGGCACTTTGTGCAAAGAACCGGCCCTTGGACTTTCCTCTGCTCTTCTGCCAGGTGGAATAGCCAGGTCGCCAGGAGCTGACGAGCCAGTATAACATCACGAGTCTCGAGTCTGCGGCGTTTACATAAGGTGGACTGCCTGATGTCTGAATACGTCCGTGAGTACGACGACTTCAGGCCAGGGCCTTGGCTACGCGTTTCAGACAGAGCAGGTCTCGAAGGGGTGGAGTTGTGGGCCGACAAGCGCAGTGGGCATGTCAAAAATTTCCCACTGCTGGCAGCCGATGCACCGACAGCTCCGTTCGCATCGTAAACCGAAGTCGCTTCCGTGGTTGTCTAAGCTTCGCCGTTCTAAACCCCCCTTGGTGTTTCCACAAAGTGAAGCCGCGTCGAAAAGCTTTGAGCCGCAGTCGTGGGCACATTGTCACACAAAGCGGCGGGGATACGACGCTCTCCAGAGCGGTGTCGCTCATGCTCTCTGTGTTAACCCCATGCCCAACTCCCTCTAAACGGACTTGAGACTCCTGACCAGGCACTATGTCATGAGCCACTTGCGCAGCTGTGCAGAGCAGGTGGGCATGGCCCAGCCTGGCCGAAGTTCGTCTCCCAAGAGGTTTCAGCACCTTCAGCGGTGAGCCGAAGTCTTGGTTGAAAGGTGGGCAAAGTCAGCCGTGAACCCGGCAGTGAGGCTTCCGGCAAGATGCTTTTATTGGCACGGTGCTTCCTAGAGAAGGGAGGTGTCTGGCAGGTGTCCAAGGATGCAACCGTGACGGACAAGGGGGAGGGGGAGGCGGCGTGCTAGATAACTTGGCAAGCCCTTTGCTGCCAGCATTGCATAGTCCCAGAGGAGGCCGAGCCACCCACCAAGCGCAAGCGCCTGCATGGGCCCTTTGTGCTGACCTGAATCCGCTACGCCGCTACGCAGTCCAGTCCATGTCTGCAGAGTGATGCTCTCATGCTTCCGAGCTCCCGTAGTAGTTAATCTTAACATGGAGCGTAAGCTGATGGATTGCATGTTCCACAAGAGCATTGCGGGTCTGCTCAGGCAGAAGCGGCCTTTCAGAAAGGCGTGGCAAGAGGGAGCTTCTTTTGGCTTGGGTGCGAGATTGTTGCAAGGGCGAAGCGCAGAGGAGCTCTTCGAGAGGCTGCTGGCCCTGCTGAAACAGGCAGGGGCTTAGGTCAGCGACAGACAATCCACAACATCTAATACGCGCTGCACCTGGGGGCATTACTTGATTGTGCTGCCATTTCGCCACCTGACCGGAGCTCTGAGTTCTTGAAGCCAGGCTCCGGAACCAGATCCTGTCAAAGCCCAGGCAGGGCAGGGGATTTTTGAGCCTTGAAGCTAATTAGTCTTCTCCGATTTCTGCGGCAGAAACGATAGCTTGTCGGACCTGCGGCAAGCGGCAAGATGTGTTGAACACGTCGGCTACCCTCGGGGACATCCCTCCATCGTAGAAAGACGGGAGCCGAATCATTGACAACAACAACACGTTTAGATGCGGCTGCAATCGAAAGCGTGAGTCAGCCCGATTATGCCGACCCTATGGCGACACTCTTCAACAGCTCTCTCGATTCCACCTCAGCCACGGCTCAGCACAGGCATTCGGACATTTGGTGTTCACGAAGCCCGGGTGTTTCTTGTGCGAGATGATTCAAGCACGCTGCAGTGTTGCCCAAAGCCAAACCCCCGAGGACGATGAGGAGGTGACGGGCGAGCTGCTGTTGCCCACCAGCAGGTGGGAGCATGTTTGTGCAACTTGTGGTGGACACCTGCGCACTGTGGCTGAGGGCCTTGGGACACTACCGTCGCGAGTACCGGAAGCTCTTCCAAGAAGCCTGGCTAAAGCTGTGAGATGCCGAGACTGCTCTGCGAGACGGGTCGAGACAGGCCTGTTTGGGCCTTGCGAGTTGTTAGGCTGGGACTTCGTGTGCCTCTGCTCCACTGTAGCGCCTTGCTGGAGCCCGAGCGGCTGTAGAGGGCGCCGGTGGGTGCCTTGAAACGACGCGAACGTCTCTTCCCAGGCTCCAGCTGCTGCCCACTCAAGTGATTCCACATCTGAGCCTCGGCCTTGGAGATCTCTGCGAGACATCGAGGGATGCCGAGATTGTTAAGGTCGGCCGCTGCTTTTGTCTGACTTCTACTTACGAGCTTTCCACGCAGGCTAGAACCCCGCAAGTGAGCCTAGAAGCTTTTGACGCCGAGCGATGCAACAGGCTCCCTCGAGATTTCTGTTCTGGCGTTGAGCGGCCTGCTCTTGCTGATGGGGGCTCAGAGCATCTCTTATCAAACTACTTTCTGAAAAAGCTAGTAACGGCTAGTAGCACTGGCACCAGCGGAAGCAGAAGATGGCTGCAGCCGCCGCAGCAGCGGCAACCACTGCGTTGGTGATGGTGGTGTTTGTTGTTGTGGAGGCGGCATCAGTGATATTTCATACGACAGCAATGGCGGCAGTGGTGACGGAAGTGGTTTCAGTGGGAGCGCCAGCATCAGTGGCAGTCGTAGCAGCAGTACTTGGGAAGGTAAACCAACCTCACGAGTAGTGTGCTAGATGTTGTGCTAGGCTCACACGGTATGGTCTCGGTGATCCGGAGACCCTCTCTGCGTCTTGTGGTGAGCCCGGCACTTAGAAAGCGATACTGACAGAAAGTGCCTAAACAACGTTTCAGCAGTGCCAGAAACGCATCATGAACGGGAATTAATTAATATTGCGGACGGCCCTTCGGGTTCATGTGTCGAAGTTGAGCAGTTTTTGCACAAGAAAGGTTCTATTCGCAGCTCTACAGCCTGCTTCGGCCTGCCACCTTCCGACTGAAGCGTGCAAATCCCAGTCCTTACAGCTGAAATGCATCAACATAGCGACCCACTTTCAGTGAGACATATACAAGCTCGAGTAGACAGGTTGCGCATTGCCACGTGAGAGACGTGAGGGTGGATCCGCTTGGGTGCAGTTGTTGCCCAGCTCGAGCAGGTTGTCGTCCCAGCTTCTCACTCGTGCCATGACGTTCGGCCGTGTCTTGGTGGTGGCATTGGCCAGCCTGCCAATGGCAGAGGGCAGCTGCCTATCAGACAACCAGAACAACTTGCACACGTGTGCGCAGCAATGCTCAGAGAAGGACACAAAGGCGGCGTGTGTTTCCGATTGCCTGATCGACTTAAAGGTGCCATCTACTTGTGCCTCCTGTCTCGGAACACAAGTCGACTGTGGCCGACGATTCTGCGCAAAAGAGTGTAGCTCTGGCAACTCCTCGAGCTCCTGCTTAACGTGCTTGGACACCCAGTGTTCGGACTGTAGCAAGGCACTCAACTTCGAGTCTCATTCGCTTTCGGATGTTGGACCCGATTTTACAAAGCTCTTCCTCGGTGCCACCAGTGAGGAGGCAGATGGCCCCGTAAGCTTTCTGGCACGACAAGCAGGGACCTGCGCAACGGGAGGTTCCCTGCTGCATGGCTGCGGAACCCCTTGTTACAGCCATCCAGATCCATCTGGTTGCTATGCCCGGTGCTCCATCAACTCTTGCTTCAGCCTTAGTTCAGAGAGGTACAGAGGTATACTCAGAGTGACTCTGCTTCTGGCAGTCTAGCTTTTCAAAATCGTCGGGCATGATTGGAGCCACGTCGCTCAGGCTTCAGCGGATGCTCGAGTTGCGGCAACAACCACTGTTTCGAGTCGTGCCGGAGATCGGTTGCGAGCTTTGAGTGTGCAGTTTGCATTAGTGGCCACTGTGGAGGCTGCCAAGTTAGCTACAGCTCCATGATGAAGCAAGCTCCGTCGGACAGCCAACCCATCTTGCCGTGAGACCACTTCAGTTCCGTGACCAGCAATTTCAAGTTGCATAGCCTGAAATGAGGCCCGCTCCAGTTTTTGGTGACCGGCAACTTCATGTTGCGTAACCTGCCATACAGGGATGCATGCCGACATGTATCAGCAATTCGCCGAATTCAGCGTGGCTTCGTCTTTTTCACTGCTGAGATCGAGAGAGGAACGACTTCTCTACAACTCAGCCCTTGTAAAGACATGACGGTGGGCTTGTTGAGGTGACAAACCGCCCGCACAGTTTAAAGTATAATTATTAAGTGCAGTTTCTGTGGTAATGCATTTGGCAGCCGCATCTGCTCCCTGCCTATGCGCATCATGACCGAAGCAAATCGGTCTCATGCTCGCAGCCTTCTGAACAGCAAGTGAGTGACTGTTATACAGCGAGTGGTAGAACTTGTACAAAGGCCTCTCTACCACTTGGAACGGAGGGCCGGCCAGCTGGTTAAAAGTGGACTCTGAGCCATTGCTGCTTGCAGACCAGATACATCCTGGCTTGCAGTTGGAGATCTTGCTGCGGCATAAGCTTTTTGACAGGCACGTGAGAGACGTGGGATCCGCTTGGGTGCAGTTGTTGCCCAGCTCGAGCAGGTTGTCGTCCCAGCTTCTCACTCGTGCCATGACGTTCGGCCGTGTCTTGGTGGTGGCATTGGCCAGCCTGCCAATGGCAGAGGGCAGCTGCCTATCAGACAACCAGAACAACTTGCACACGTGTGCGCAGCAATGCTCAGAGAAGGACACAAAGGCGGCGTGTGTTTCCGATTGCCTGATCGACTTAAAGGTGCCATCTACTTGTGCCTCCTGTCTCGGAACACAAGTCGACTGTGGCCGACGATTCTGCGCAAAAGAGTGTAGCTCTGGCAACTCCTCGAGCTCCTGCTTAACGTGCTTGGACACCCAGTGTTCGGACTGTAGCAAGGCACTCAACTTCGAGTCTCATTCGCTTTCGGATGTTGGACCCGATTTTACAAAGCTCTTCCTCGGTGCCACCAGTGAGGAGGCAGATGGCCCCGTAAGCTTTCTGGCACGACAAGCAGGGACCTGCGCAACGGGAGGTTCCCTGCTGCATGGCTGCGGAACCCCTTGTTACAGCCATCCAGATCCATCTGGTTGCTATGCCCGGTGCTCCATCAACTCTTGCTTCAGCCTTAGTTCAGAGAGGTACAGAGGTTTACTCAGAGTGACTCTGCTTCTGGCAGTCTAGCTTTTCAAAATCGTCGGGCATGATTGGAGCCACGTGGCTCAGGCTTCAGCGGATGCTCGAGTTGCGGCAACAACCACTGTTTCGAGTCGTGCCGGAGATCGGTTGCGAGCTTTGAGTGTGCAGTTTGCATTAGTGGCCACTGTGGAGGCTGCCAAGTTAGCTACAGCTCCATGATGAAGCAAGCTCCGTCGGACAGCCAACCCATCTTGCCGTGAGACCACTTCAGTTCCGTGACCAGCAATTTCAAGTTGCATAGCCTGAAATGAGGCCCGCTCCAGTTTTTGGTGACCGGCAACTTCATGTTGCGTAACCTGCCATACAGGGATGCATGCCGACATGTATCAGCAATTCGCCGAATTCAGCGTGGCTTCGTCTTTTTCACTGCTGAGATCGAGAGAGGAACGACTTCTCTACAACTCAGCCCTTGTAAAGACATGACGGTGCGCTTGTTGAGGTGACAAACCGCCCGCACAGTTTAAAGTATAATTATTAAGTGCAGTTTCTGTGGTAATGCATTTGGCAGCCGCATCTGCTCCCTGCCTATGCGCATCATGACCGAAGCAAATCGGTCTCATGCTCGCAGCCTTCTGAACAGCAAGTGAGTGACTGTTATACAGCGAGTGGTAGAACTTGTACAAAGGCCTCTCTACCACTTGGAACGGAGGGCCGGCCAGCTGGTTAAAAGTGGACTCTGAGCCATTGCTGCTTGCAGACTGCATGCATCTTGATTGAGCATCCAAGACCTGCAACGTGACGTCATATCAGGCCGTGCGAGGTTCCAGAGGTTGGCGGTGCAAGCCTCGGCTTCAGGTGGTTTTGTCATAAGGCTGTGACTGCCAACTCGCAGCATATGTCATTGGATCTCGAGCATCGCATCAGCAGATAGGATCTCACAGGAGCTGTTCGTGGGTAGCTGTTTGTTGTGACACGGCCGCAGGCAGCGGCTCTTACTAGCGGCCTACTGCGACTCAGCTGCTACCAGATTCACACCCGTACTTCGACATGACGTGTACGGTTGTCGATGTCAAAACATATGCAAAGCCGCCCGATGCTTTCACTTTCACCTGTATACATTCATGAACCGTTGTCCACCTTGCTTTCAGGCCAGGCGGATTTGCGGCCGCCTTCGCCAAGAAATGTCCGGCCCTCTCTGTCATTGTATCTATCGTTGTTGCATGATGCTGAGATAGTTCTGCATCTTGCCAAAACGAAACAGCCCCATCTGCGCCTCGGACAGTCCGGACTCTGGATGCTTGCTGTGCGCTGCTGCCCAACTCGGGCAGCGACACAGCCATAGCCCCTCAAACTGCTTCCGTTACTCACCGAGTTAAGGTCTCCGGGTTGCGATCGCGCTTCCGGAGCGGAATCCTCAGGTGTAGATCCACACGGTCAGCAGCAGTAGTAGTAGTAGTAGTAGCAGCAGTAGTAGCAGTAGTAGTACTTGTAGCACTGCTACCGCTACTGCTGCAACTCTACTGCTGCTACTACTACTACTACTACTACTACTACTACTACTACTACTACTACTACTACTACTACTACTACTACTAACTACTACTACTACTACTACTACTACTACTACTACTACTACTACTACTACTACTACTACTACTACGACTACGACTACGACTACGACTACAACTACTACAACTACTGCTGCTGCTGCTCCTACTACTACTACTACTACTACTACTACTACTACTACTACTACTACTACCACTACCACTACCACTACCACTACTACCACTACTACCACTACCACTACCACTACTACTAGTACTAGTAGTAGTAGTAGTACTACTACTACTACTACTACTACAACTACTACTACTTCTTCCGTCTTTTTGTTTTCTGCGTCTGCTACCTCCACTACTACTGCTGCCACTGGTACTGACATTTGCTACACTTCCCGGAGCCAAAATCAACAAGGCCAGCCGGAGCGAAACGGATGAACAAGTCTCCACCTGCCCCCCGCTCTCGGGTAGAGCACCCAACATCCTGCGTCCCTGCTCTTGCGGCAAGGCCTGGGAGCATTTTGTGGCTCCTGAGCCTGGCTTATGGCCTCATCCAGAGGCTCGTAGCTTTCTGTCCGTTTGTTGGGAAGTGGGACACAGCAGCCACGGCCACCCAGGCTCTTGGCTGAGGTCCCAAGCACAGCCTGTTGGGTATATGGATGCAGGAACCACAGCCACTGCAGCTTCCTTCTCCATCGGGAAGAGTTTGAAGGCGATGTTGCTTTCCGGGCTGTTCATTGGGATGGACTTTGCATCCGCGCTTGTGTAGGGTCGCTCTTGGTATCGGACTTTGGAAATCGATTGTGTTACAGCCACCAGCATGATGTGGGCCAGGGGTATCGAACCTGGCGAAGGACGGGCCCGCAAGTCGTTCCCGACCGAGTCTTTTGTTGGTGGCTGCAATGCAGAAATTCTTGGGTTCTCGTTGGCAAACTGGCTGCCACTTCTCACTGGTGATGATGTGGCCCTGTCTGTTGTTTCCACCTGCGATATGACATCCTCAATATTAGTAGGGGCGGGAATTCCAAAACGCCCAGGCTGTTGAACCCGGTTGAACCGTAGCAGCAGCTTTGTTCGGAGGCGAGGTTTCAGGCAAAAAGACTTCCTCTCATGCTCATGATGCGCCCTCAGGCAAACCTGGCGTGGTAGTGTAGTTGCGGGTTACTGTCGAAGAACGAGCACAGTTGTATCGTCCGCTTCGCATCGTTCATCTTCCAGGCCCAAGTCGATGTTTGTAAGTCGGAGGATACCTTCGACAGCGAGGCAGACCTTACACAGGCTACCAAGCAGGCAATCGTGGGAGAAAGGGTCACTGCATGTCGAGGTGGTCTTTGCAGACATGTGGGAGCAACAGTCCGTGTTTTGACCTGCAGCGGTGAGCTATGCAGTGGCTGAAAAAAGCCCTTAGGCGACCACAATAGCAAGTCTTTGCCGCGCGGGTTCCTTGCAGCCATCTGCCAGGTCGCTTCCAGTTCATTGTGGGAGGTTCAGCTGCTTTTCCGTCACCATGCACGGGGCTCGAGCTTAGCACAGCGAGCGAGAGATGTTCTGAAGCACTTTGCTTGCTGCCAGTTGCCTGCGGTCTCTACGCTGGCGAAGCTTTTTGAGAGGCCGTTCTTCAAGGCCGTTTGCGGCGTTTTAAATGTGCGCAGCATGCAGCTGAAACACAGTCGTCGGCAGAGCTCCTGCTTTCCAGCCTACATCGCGGAAGCTGGATCCAGAGATCTTCTTGGACCAGAGCGTGGCGAAGGCTTGCGGGCCTTGCGGGCCTTGTGGGCCTTGAGTTTGGCATCAGGGGGGGATTGTGGCGCTGGACGCTCGCAGGCCTACGAGCAAGCCTTGAAGTCCGCAGATCGACAGGCTGACCGAAAGAGAGGGCCTTGCAGAGCTGCGAGTCTCTGAATCTCTGAGTCTCTGCTCTGCCCCGAGGCGGTCAGGCTCAAGGCAAGGGGCACCACGTGCCGGCCCGAGGAGACGTGACAGGACAGGCCCGATCGTCGCATCGTCGAGTAGGCAAGTGGTCTCAGGTGTCCCTTGGCCTTCCAAGTGGAGGAGCCCGCCCTTTACATGGCTCACTATCCATGCGTGATTTCCTTTCAGACACACTTTTTCCCGACTGAGTGTTATGACTAAACTCTGCAGGACGATCCGCTTGTGCTCCGGGTGTCTGGCTGGGCAGCAGCCTTGTCCACAGGACTGCACTTCGATGGTTTGTGTCATTCTTTCTGTCGCTGTTGCCTCGCAGCCGCAGGACAGCGGCGGATCGGTGCTGGTCTCTGACCACATGGGATCTCTGCTTTGCATTGCTTTGTTGGTGCTCGGGCACCTGAGCGACAAAAGCTGCATGCTGCAGTAGGTCTTTGCATGACTTGATCAAGTAGAGTGGCCCATGGTCTCGCTTTGGGGGGACAGAAGGGCCGAGAACGAGTGCCGGCTTGTGCTTCGATCCGGTCAGAGTGCTCTCGCCACATGTATTGCCTGCTGTTGTCTCTCAGTACCATAGCCAGCTCGAGATTCTCGCTGGCAGAATATGCACAAACATCAAGTTGAAAGCACCCTGCAATGAAGAAGTAGCGCCGGAACCTTCAGGTGGGCAATGGCTTACGTTTCAGGGTTTAGACTCAGATGTCTAGCCGCTTTGCCTTAACACGTTCGACACGAGATCTCTTTTGCGAGTTCTTTTGATGCTCGGACTCGGAGAGGCCTAGGGCCTAGGACCAGGCGATGGACACCACGAAGCCACCGCTGGATCAGATAAAATCTCATGCGACCCAAGTGCTGGACTACAGGCCGGGCGCACAGCGCGCAACAGTGCTGATGTCTGCAGACCCTCGTGTCACCAGGTTGAACATCGACGCAGAGTACCAGGGGTCCAGACCCCGGAGTCGCACAAGTGCCTTCGACTTGATTCCGTATTCCGCTTTGAGGTGGATCCTGATATTCACCACCATTACCTGCGCCTGGCTCTTCTGTCTTCCAGTCGAGGGCCCAATGCGAGTTCATGCGCTTGCAGTACGGTTGTGCCCACGACTCCTTGGTTGGACATGGGCCACTACTAGTAGCTAAGCTTAGTTAGCGAACTATGCTATTGGCTTCCGCGAATGAAATCGGCTCGTGAACGGACTTCTGGAGAGCTGCATCCGGAGCACTTCCGTCACCTGTGTAGCGAATATGTGCGAACAGATTACATGTCACGGAGCGACTGGCGGACGGTGCCTTTTCTGGTCATGTGAAGACAAGTGCAAGCCACGTTTCACGATACCTGCGTTTCGTGGACTTTGTGTTATTGCAAAGAGTTCTTTCTGACAATCACTGCCAACCATTTGTTACTATGGCACAGATGACGACGACGATGATGATGATGCGGTGATGATGACTGCGACGATGGCGATCATATCAATTCTAAACATGCTGATGACAGTCATGCTTCTGCTGTTGATGATGCCGATGAAGATGGCCAGGGAGATTATTACGGTGGTCATGATGAACAGGCTGATGACAATCGTGGCTACGACGATGATGCTTGTGATTATGACGATGGCGATGGTGATGATGGTGAGGGTGACGGTGATGATGACGATGATGTTTACGATGAATCGGCTAGTGCTGATGCTGGCGATGGCAATGATGATCACGACAATGATGTTGATGATGCTGAGGAGGGTAGAGATGGTCGTCGCCCGCTGCACATGCTGCACGCAAGCGTCAATCGCTTGTATGTTTTGTGCCACGCCCAGTGCTACTGCGCCGGGATGTCCTCACCAAGTGCGCGGCGGATGGCATCTTGGACCGACTCTTGAAGCAAGTTCTGTCACATCATCTCTCATGGCTGTTTCCGTTCCGTGGCTGCATGTCCGAGCAGGATGTCGCAGCGGTTGCCGGTGGGCTGCCTCCCCTCAGCAGTGCGTTGTGCAACTCTTCGCGCGTGTGTCTTGATGTGCACAAGCACGCAAGCTGATTCGCAGCTGATCGTTTGACGTTGAGCCACTGGGTTCAAACCTGGGCGGCTCGGCTCCACATAGCCGATAGCGAAGTGACAGCTAGGAATTCGAAAGAAGCCCCTTAGAGCAATGGCGAAGGTGGTTTACGAGCCTAGGAACATCCTCGTGACGGGCGGAGCTGGCTTCATTGCAAGCCACGTGGCAGAGCACCTGTTCTTCACATATCCAAAGTACAAGATTGTCATCTTGGACCGGTTGGACTATTGCTCGAACACCAAGAACTTCGAGTCCATGCAGGGAAAGCCCAACTTCAAGTTCGTGAAAGGAGACATCAAGAGCCCCGACTTGCTCCATTACATTATCCAGCAAGAGGACATTGACACAGTGATGCACTTCGCGGCACAGACGCATGTGGACCTCTCCTTTGGCAACTCTGTGACCTTCACGGATGACAATGTCCTGGGCACTCACAGAATTTTGGAGGTGCTGAAGGAGTTGAAGCATCAGGTAAAGCGATACATCCATGTTAGCACTGATGAGGTGTACGGCGAGAACGCAAGTTACAACGATGAAGGGGACATGAAGGTTGAGGCTACCTCTCCGCTGGATCCTACGAACCCTTATGCAGCCTCCAAAGCCGCTGCAGAGATGATGGTGAAAAGCTACCACCGGTCCTATGGACTGCCGGTCCTTGTCACCCGTGGCAACAACGTCTACGGCCCTCGCCAATATCCGGAGAAGCTGATTCCCAAAATGATCATGATGTTGAAGAGGAACAAGAAGCTCACGGTGCACGGAGATGGGCTGAGCAAGCGCTCGTACCTGCACGTCAAGGACGTGGCAGCCGCTTTTGATATCATCCTGCACAAGGGGGTCACCGGGAGCACCTACAACATTGGGACCGCCGAGGAGCACTCCGTCATCGATATCGTGAAACAGATTGTCACAATGATGAAGCCGGACGTGGAGCCGGAGAAGATGATCGAGCATGTTCGCAACAGACCTTTCAACGACATGCGCTACTTCCTCGATCTGAAGCAGTTGGAGATGCTGGGATGGAAGGAGACCATCAAGTTTGATGAGGGCTTGAAGCAGACAGTAGATTGGTTCACTGTCCATGGCCAATCTTTCTGGGCCGATTGTGACATGGACTCTGTCTTGGTGGCACACCCTGTGCCCATTCCAAGGCTGGAGACCCCAGGCATTTCTGATCAGCAAAGCTCCAGCCATGCTGAGCCCCCCGCGAAGAAGGCCAAGAAGGTCAAGTTCCTGGTTTTCGGAAGGACCGGCTGGATTGGCGGCATGATTGGAGATCTGCTCACTCAGAAGGGCTTCGCCTGGGAATGGGCTTCTTCCCGCCTGCAGGACCGGGAGAGTGTGGAGCGTGAGCTGCTCCACAGTGGCTGCACTCACGTGATGAACGCAGCTGGCTTGACCGGCCGTCCAAATGTCGACTGGTGTGAGACACATCGTCAGGAGACCATTCGGGTGAATGTGATTGGAACCCTGACGCTTGCCGATCTTTGCGCAATCCACGGCATTCACATGACCAACTTTGCTACAGGATGCATCTTCCATTATGATGAGAAGAAGCCCGAGAAGATCGAGCGGGGTGATTCTTTGGTTGCGAAGGACCCGTCACTTACCTTCAGTGAGGAAGATCGCCCCAATTTCACTGGCTCCTTCTACTCCGAAACGAAGGGCTACGTGGAGAACATGCTTCGCGAGTTCGATCATGTTCTGACTCTACGTGTTCGCATGCCCATCGATGGCGACATCTTGACAAACAAGCGCAATTTCATCTACAAGATTGCCCACTACAACAAAGTGGTCAACATCCCTAACAGCATGACAGTGCTTCCGGAGCTGCTGCCCTATGCAGTGGAGATGGCCCTGAGACGGCTGGTGGGTGTCTACAACTTCTGCAACCCTGGGGCGATCAGCCACAATCAAGTGCTAGAGCTGTACAGGGACTACATCGACCCGGACTTCAAGTGGGGCAACTTTACAGTTGAGGAGCAAGCGAAGGTCATCACAGCGGCGCGCTCGAACAATGAGCTCAGCCCCCACAAGATGTGGAAGGAGTTTCCGGGCATGCTGCCCATAAGAGATTCCCTGATCCAGTATGTCTTCAAGCCTGCGCAGACCGACAAGTCGAAGGCCAGGGCCACCGTCAAGTGAGAACACCTCGAAGTAGTGGCAAGCAGTTGGCTGTGCCTGTTTAACTGACCAAAAATCGTAAGGAAGCTTCATTGTTTCCACATGGGTAAGCCTCGTGGCTGCCGAATGCGTGTGTTTTTTTCCGCTGATCTTGGAGGCCCACATGCAATTGTTTGATCTGAGTAGTGTGGGCATGCATGCTTTGGCGAAATCCAGTGTGAGGGCGCGCCTCCCACTGCGACAAATTTCACACTGCAAGGCTTCGATTTGTTCGATCTTGTCCAAAGGCAGCGCTCTCAACAACACAAGGCAAAGCTCCGCCAAGAACATCATCCTTGAGGATTTTGGCTTGGTACAACAGAAAATGGCTCAAAGCCTGCTGTGTGTGCTGCGAAGGCTTGCTGTCGACCCGTATGCTGTAGCTGCCTGGCTGCGCAGTACTTCTACACCTTCATGACTTTCTTCAACATCCTCCTGATGTACCTGGCCGGGGGGGCTGGGCTGTAGCGGCACTGTAGCGCTGTAGCCAAGTGGTGCTTCAGAGAGGCTTCTGAGCTTTCGCTTCGCTTCGCTCCTGCGCTGGTGAGAAGTTCAAGCGTCGCGCCGCCGCGCCGCCGCGCCGCAGGTGATTCAGTGGCTTCCGGATTGGACTTTCGGGCAGTACGTGGCGGTCCTCGGCTCAGCGAGTCGCGCGCATTTCTCAAGGCAGCAACAAAAGCCCTCGAGGTACTGGGCAAGTCTGCTGGCTGGGCCTTCGGACACGTGCTGAAATGGGCCCTTCGATCAGCATTCAAAGCATCGCTCGTGGTCGCATGGAAGCATTGCTGTCAAAGCAGCGCGCTGCGCAGAGGCCACCTCCTTGGTTCTCCTGGCAAAGTTTGGAGCACTCCAAAGTGATGAGGAGCAGACTCAACCCGTGTGCAGTGTGCAGCCAGGCGATGATCATCGCCTTCGGTGTTGTGGTGCGCTGCATGCAATGTATGCACTGCAGCAGACGTGGTATTGTAGAGCCCCGGTGAACTTGTCTGACCAATGATGCCTCCGCGAGCTTCCAGCGGTCTGCCCCGAATTGTAGCATCGGAGAGGGATTCGCTCTCTTCGTCCACTCACGCTTCCCGTACCGTCTCGCCATGGCATCCTTCAGCCTCATGTTTTCCTGCCTGGTCTCCATTGCTGCAG